GTAAAAAATTATTATTAATTAAAAAAAATAAATCAAAACAATTTATAAATTTCATCTAACTCAAGTAAAAATTAATCTTAAAGAAGCCAAAAAAATCTCGCACTTTATGTTATATAAATTAATTTTTTAATAAAATAAATTTAAATATGGTGCACATTTCTGGGGCCAGGTTGCTCTGGAACCAGGAACTAGGGTGTTCAGGACGCCCTCTGCACCGCCAACCAGGTTGACTCCGTCGCCCCCGGGGCCGATTTGGGCCGACCTTCCTCCGCAACCTCCAGTTCGTAGACACAAAATCCCTCCGAGACCACCAAGAAGACCTTCGCTGGATCGAATTCCTGTCCACCGAGTGCCCAGCTGGGAAACGCTGCCCAGCAGACCCTACGAGGTACTATGGTTATTTGGCTGAATTAAAGCAAATGGAACGGAAATTATCAATTATGCAAACAATCCACTCACACCGGCGGAGCTCTCTCTACATGCAAATAACACTTTTGGCAAAACACACACTTTTGTTTTTGTTGCGAATTTAATGGAGCACGTCAGCGAGTGTTTGTTCTGTGTGTTGGTTGGAAGAACACCTCAAGCCCAAACACAAAACAGGAGTAGTGTTGTTTCATTTTGAATATCTTCCAGGATAATTATTGTGCCGGGACGAGTTGCCGCGGAGCAATTTTCGCTCTCGATTTTAATCCGGAGCTTCCAGAGAGCTGAAAGCACCGTCATAAAGCCGCCGTTGGCCTTCTTCTCTGTGTGTGCAGCTATTTGCGCTATCTCGCTCGCTCCAAGGACGCGCACGTTGTGCCGCACTCGCAGGAAAACGGGGACAATGAGATGACGAATTGCCAACGAGATCATGAATTATTGCACTAGCACGCGGATAATACAACATCTCAAGAGGAGAGCGTGCTGTGCCGCACAACATCCTTACAAAAACATCGCACATTTAATTAAATCGAATGAATGACGCAGGCGTCGTGCCGTGATTTTTTTTAATTAATCACACAGACTGCGTGCTTTTTTTGCTCATCAACATGCGCGAATGAGGATGGTTACATTTGGCTTTTTTTAGCACATTTTCGACCGCATTTTAGTTGAAAAGAAGCTTACGAAAATGCCGATGGAAAATTGGCGAGGCGTCTTTTGCAGGAAAATCGCTTTCTGTCATTCGAAGCGAACTGCCTCCCAAAGATGGAATTACTTTTTCCGACGGCCGTAGGCGGTGGCCGAGCTTTAATAGGCAATTAAATGTGTGCCCGTTCATTGTGACAGACAGAATTTCAGACACAAGTGAACCATAAAAAAGAGCGAGCAACAACCGATTTTGTTCTTTTGATAAATAAATCCCAACAGTAAAAATGTCTACAAAAATTAAATACTATAAAAAAATTAGAATCTCCATAAATTTTCCCATTTTAAGCTCAAGTGAGGAAGATCTAGTTCCATAACTGGCCGTTGGAAATAGCCTCCATGCAATTCACTTTTCTTCGGAGATCAAAAGATGGAGCGTCTGGAGCTTTTGGAAGACCGGCATCCCACTCTTAGCGTGCGTTCATTAGTTTCCGTGTATAGTTTTAAACATTAAACCAATTTTAAATTTTCATCCTTAAACAAGAGCATGAATTTTCATTTTTGTTAAAATTATTACTGCGAATTCGGTAAGCGAGAAATAGGTCGCTTGGATCAAAATGAACGCACCCTCTGTTAACTATCAGTACTCGCCAAACATCAGACGTGCAGACAGCTTTGCGGCGAACTATAATTATCCTTGAGAGAAGCTTTTGGTTTTTATCACGGATGCATCCAACCTACCGAACTGATCTTCGGCCTCATTCCTCCCACTTTCAATCCAAAATAACATTATTTTCTTTGTTAATGGCAAAGACACCAAAAAGCCTTTTCCTCTCTAAACAAACTGTCGACAGCTTTCGTTCTCCTCAAATTGAGATCAAATAATTTATTTCTCTACGCCGTCGGGGCTGTTGACACTCGCGATCGAACTCTTCAAAGTGATTGACCACTTTAATCGCGTCGCTGCAACCCAAAGAAGTGCTTTGCGGCGGCACAAATGGGCGCTAATGAAGGCCAGCAGCCTCCGCTCTTGGCTCTTGTTTTCCAACAACGCCGAGCCTGCGGCGAGTTTAATTGTGTTTCGCCGCGCTGTCTCTGGAAGTGATGCTAGCTCCCCTCGCCATATACACGCATGACACAAATGTGACGTTTGAGTGTCTGACAGTCGGAAATTTCATTGCGTCCCAAACAGTGCTGACATCAAATAATGCTCACTTAGAATTTCATATTGAGCATCAGTAAATTCAAATTCCACTTCTAGTACGTTTTCATAAAGATATGATTGGAATTTCCAACTGTTGAAAAAAATCAAAATAAAATTTACCTTGCCAAATAAACTGGAGGATTAAATTTTTAACTATAACTTGTAAATTAAGTTTTGGTTTAAAATTTTAAGCTCTCCTCAACTAAACTTGGCCTGTCTGAAAGGCATCCGCCATAAAGTTTTCTCCCCTCGAGAAGCAAACAATGACGGGCTCTCTTGTCTCCACTTATTATCGCCTTTGTCTGGCGCAGTCTTTCAATTAACCTCGTTGAATCTATTGTGGCAACAGAGCCAAGAATGCAGATGAAATGTGCAGCTCCTTCACTCTCTTCTTCACTGATAAATGACAAAATATTCGACTCGCGCGACGCCGATTCCAAAAATATACTCTGCTGCTGCCGAAGAAACCCACGTTTCCAGCACGCGCGTCACTAAAAAAGAAAAGGGTTCTCCAGCAGCAGTGGTGGTGTGGCAGAAGAGGAAAAAAGAGTGAATGCACCCTCTCCGCTCCAAATCCTGCTGATGAAAAAAGCCATGTGCTCCGGCCGGAAGAAAGGATTGCAAAGAGAATGGGCGCAAATTTTTACGGGCGACAGGGGAACCGTTCCCTTTTTTTTTAATCTTGCGTGCACACACACAACGCTGCGACCTTCCGTACAACATCAATAATTTAAAGTGGCCGAATACGGGTTACTCCAACTGCTCCAGCCCATTTTTAACCCTAAACAAATTTTTCAGGAGAGGGGTTTTATATTATTTACAAGTGACCTTAATGAATTATTTTTCTTCAATTTCTTAGTCATAGTAATAGAACTATAATTATATATTTTTTTTCAATTACCCAAAGTTTAAAGTTTTTAAGTTTATGGACAAGAGATCAGTTTTGAAAATACTGATAAATTGTTTTATCATTTCAGTTATGCATTTATCACAGTTAAAAGATTTTAAACTTAACAAAATATGTTCCCTTTTTAAGGAATCATTTTTAAAGTTGTTCCATCTTTTAATTATCACATTATTTTTATTACCATAATCATGATTAAATAATATTTATTATTTTGTGTTCCTGCAGTTATCCACAATTATCTTGAGAATAGTTATAAAAAAATATATCCATAATTTTTATTTCAGTTAAATAGTTAAAACGATTAAACAGATGGTATACTTTACCATGTTTCATTTGACAAACTGTTGCAATTGATATTTATCTGAAGAATTTTGTTGGAATGGAATTCATGGTCGCTCACTTCTGAAAATAACGAGCCTCACTGGGCCCATCTAAGGAATTGGCTGCAAGCGGCGATGCGAAAATTGCCTTCGTGGCCTGCAGGTGAATTTCTTTTCTGTGACCTACGATATTGGGGTTGACGGGCTGAAGGGGTGTGTTGCTGGCGACGAGCAGCTGGAAACGCGAGCAGTCCTTTTAGCGGTCTCAAGAGGTGCTCTCGGCCGGAGAGCTGCGCAAACCTCCACTCGCTGGAAAATTAGAGCTTTTTTCCAAAGAAAAAGATTAAGCTGCCATCACGCCGGCGGAGCTACGACATTCCGACTCTTATTTCTGTGCGCAGAGCTCGCTCGGGAAAACCACGTCGCCGTTCTTTCTTCATTTTTCCACCACTACTTCTTTTTTCTTTTCTGCACAAAGCTCGGAAACATTATTACCTCTGTCATGCTCCCGACTTGAAGACGTATATATGAATTTTACGGTGCCCTTTGAACCTCCACTTCTTTTGCTACCGGCACCGGTAATTGCAAAATTATGTCAGTGGAATGAAATTTTCTGGCTTTTAGCAAGCCGGTGGAAAAAAGCTTCACAGTATAAGTGCCAATAAATTGCTGGAGAGAATTGTAGAGATATCTCATAAATGGAAGAGCTGCTCTTTTGTCTTTCAATCAGAGAGACGCTCAACAAGTGGATTCGCTCTGCTGCAATTGATTGATTGATTGTGTCTATTATTTTCATAAGAATATACAGATAGCGCTTTTATATATATAAGATTTGAAGTGGAGACTGAAAATTAATCAGAAAAAACATTTAGCAGATGGTTGTAAGAAAATATTAAGGAAATCGAACAAATACCCATTGCTCTTCATTATAATCACATTGTCAATAATCTTAAATTAACCAAACACAAAATTTGGAGGAAATAGGCAGATAACTCGTTTCTTAAAAAAGATTTATACAGAAAAAGTTAGAAATTTAGAGTGTCTCGTAAAATTAATTTATTTGGAAATGAAAAACTTTCATAAACAGTACCAAATGCGTTTTGTTTTGCGGGTTGCAGACAACTGCGGACAAGGCCAGACATTTCTTGAAACGTTTTCTGTAAACTTTGCCCATAATTTTTTTTCACAGATGAGAAACAAATCCGCTCAATGCGGTGAACACGTTCCTTTCCGCGTCCGTCATAAAAAGTCAAAACAAATAACCGGCAGCAGTCTTTCTTTCAAGTCACACGCTGTGAAATAGGCGGGTGGAAAGACCCCCAGTTCGTTCCACGTGCAGAAACGTAAACAAAAATCCACCCTCGCTGGAGAAACGAACTTTCCTATCGGCCGGTCGGCGGCGGCGGGATGATGAGCCAGATGACGAGATCATATTAGAGCGCGCGATGCGAGAGGAGACGTCGTCGTCGTCTTCCGTCTAAATTTAGCCGATGAGGGGCCAGTCGTCAGTTGTTGGTGCGAGTTAGTCGGTGATGGTGCGGCGGCCTTAGAGCGAGTGTTTCTGTGTGTTTTTGTGCGCCGAGAGAAATTAAGAATTAAAAGCGCCCTTTCGTTATCTGATGCGCGAAAAGCAGCAGCCGCCACCACAACAACCGCAACCTCGCTCCGGCCGATCGGGGGCGGCGCTGGTCAACCTGCCCCCACCGCCCCCGCTGCCCAACCGAGAAATGCTGCTGCAGCCGCCTCCGGGCGGGGGCAGGCCGCCTCCGGCTCCTTCAGGGGCCCGAGGCATCCTGAACTCGTACTTTCGCGAAGAGCAGAGCAGGCGGCCGCAGCAGCAACGGCCTCCGACCGCCTCCTCCGCCGCCTCCACCTGGCGGTATTCCGGTAGGCAATTGCCGGCGAGGTGCCACTGACCCTCGACGCAGTTTGGAGGAAATTCATTTTGTCGTACCGGTCGGCGCGCCTTTTAAAGAGCGCAGGATGAAAATGTTTAATGTGCCTCATGAATAGCAAGTCCAGTTGAATTATTTTAACGAGCCTGCAAATTAACATGCTCGCGGAATTTTTCAAAGACAAATTCCATGATAGTAATTAATTAATATATTTCAGCCACCGAAATTAAGAAATGGAATTTACCCAAAAAAAAATTTAGTACCCATTTAGTTTCTAATTTATTGATACGCCTGATAAAATATTTCTTTTTTTTTTTATTAAAAATTTTATATTAATTTAGAAGAAGTTTTATTATAAATTAAAACTTTATTTAAAAACATTTCCCACTCCGTAAAAATTGTTGAAAATATTTAATTATTAATTATTTTTGATAAATTTCACTCAAAACATAATTTTCCTATTACTATTACACGTTTCAATATTTTTATTTATCTGTCCATCTTTTTCTATAATAGACACATACAATTGATTGATAGATTGACGGCCCCCTCTTTATTTGTCTTTCCCTTGATTTTACAAAGAATCCGAGTGGCGCCTATAAAACTAATTGGATCATTAGAGCCCGTTGAATTTGTTTATTTTAATTAGCCGTGGCCTCCTCTGCAGCTCCTGTGATGTTGCTGACGAATTTTCGCTTCCCAGAATTCGCCCTCTTTCGCCGGCCATTGGATTTTGAGGAAAGCAAAAATCCTGCGAATCGGAGTCTGTTCGCACCGGTTTGGCCCAAACACAGAGCGGCCCTTCATTGGCCGCAAGATACAAATCTTGCTTATTATATAAGCCCTCCGTGCTCGCTCATCAATTTACTTTAACCCCTCCACTTGAACCTCGCGCGTATATCAGAGAGTTATTCCAAGATGTGAATTATTGCCCTCCGCGCTCAATTCGCACGTTTAAATCATTTTTTCTCTCACACTCGTCAGTTTCCCACGATAAAATTTAAATCCTCTAGTAGATTTTTCATTGAATGCTAAACGAAGGAATGGGAAGAATTATTAAAATAATTCTTATTTCTTTGTTCTAAAAAAAGCAAAAGGTTCAGGAGAGCTCTCCTCGGTTTCTGTTTCTTTTTATACGCAGGTTTGTTATAAACGGGCAGCCAGTCTGTCGGGCACTCGTTTTGTCGAGAGGGGTTTGACGTCGGGGGGTATATGAAACGGGTCAATCATTATGGGTCTAATGGATGGCCAGCAGGGACCAACTGCACGTGCAGTGACCCATAAAAGTGGTCTTAAATTAAAAGGCAAGATGGACGGTGCAAACTTGAAGCACTGCTGAGGCGATCATTGATTAAATGAAATTTAAATTATTCAACCAGGCTTGTTAATGTTGAGGGTGTGAATACCACTAAAATAAAATCGGTAAACTGTATCAGTTTTGATTAAAAAAAAAATTGTAAATCCCGTCAATTATTCGCAAGATTAAAGAAAGATCTTTAATATTCAGTTTTAAAAATTTCTATTAAATTTATCTTTTATTGCAAAAATTTCTACAATTAAATAACATAATACTGGATGGGAAATTATTTTTTCTGACAAAGTTAAAATTAAAATAACTAAAATCTACCACACCAGCTTAATTTACTTAAATTTCCTGCTTTATACAAATTATTTGAAATTTTAATTCCTGACTTTATGAGGTCAAATCGACGCCGACTGGCACAATAAATATCAATTCTCCAAATGAATTCAATTAAGGCACCTCTCGCCGTTGGTCTTCTCCGTGGCGAGCATAAATTCTAAAATTAAACTCGAGGGCACCTCGCGCACTTGCCTGCCCGAATTGGAGGCTGACGTGTGTATGCATCTCGCCGCAGGGGCTGATAAGCAGTCGGCGGAGGGGGAGGGTCAGCTCTCAAGTGGCGGCGAACTGGACGAGGAGGAGGACGACGATGAGGAAGAAGAGTCTACGCTCAAGGACCGCGGCGTCGCGAGTTGCTCGTCAAACCGCCGCCCGGACAAGTCGGCCCGGCATGCCCACCACCACCACCAGCACCAGCAGCAACACTATCCGGCTTCCGACGACGAAACCGACGAGGAACTGTCCAGCTCAGCCGAACTGAGTTCCTCGTCCAGCCGGGGCGGTGCTCCCCGCAGGAGACACTTTGTGCCCTCGGCGCCCCGGCCGGCGCATGCCACCAGGGCCAGTGCCACAGAAGGTTTGTGCTCAACTCGGACCCACAATTTTGCTCAAATTTATTTAACAAGCTTTTTATTGTTTTTAATTAACAGACAAGAAAAGGCAAATTTTTAATTTCTTATTCTTCATAATTGCAAAAATTTTGATTCAAATATAAAATTATTTATAATTTGTAAAAGTTAATAATGAGGATCATTTACTTGTCAGTATGGGAGGTGATGTTCTTATTTTTTATCTGCAGTACATTTTTTTTTATCATTTTCACCTCTTCTAAAATTTCTCCGCCATTAATATTTCCAATATTTTTAAATTAAAATAAGCTGAAATAAAATTTAATTCCTTTTTTACTACATTATGCAAGACTATCTAAACAACATTTCCATTTGCAAAGAACCAGTTCTTTGTGAGCATACAATTCCATTTGATATTTTCTTTCGACCGCTCTGCTTTTTGTCAGGCGAAACAGACGCCGGCTAGCTATTCCTGGCCTAAATTTATCGGCGTTGTTCAGCGCTTAGTGCAAGCTCCTATTTTTATTTTTCCCTTAAGAGAGCACTACTTGAACTCAGAGCCGGACCTAAAATAGTTTGATAGCCTTTTCAAGTTTGGCCCCGGAACTGGTGGCAGTAAAACCATCAATCATTGCCCCCGTAAAATTTGAGCGAAACCGAGTCGAGTGCAAAACTTTTGGCATTTCCGCAGACCTGACGACGACGGGTTGCGAAGAGGACTTTCAGTGGCTGCAACACCAACAGCAGCAACACGCCCTCCGCCACCACCAAGAGCAAAATCTGATGATGCAGGAGTCGGTCAACAGTCTGCACGACTCAAACATGCAGGACTCGATGCACAGCTCGGTCAGCATGCAGGAGTCGGTGCACTCGATGAACAGCTCCCACGGCAGCCAGAAGGGTGCTTCGAGAAGGGAATCGGGCGAATCTGGTGGTCACCACCACGAAAACGGTGGTGGCTCGGCCACTGGTCGCTCCAGGGGAGAAGTCAGACACAGGCACGACTTGTTTGCAATTTTCATAATTGTTTTAATCTGCATTATTTTGGCAGAAATATTGTTTGGATCCTTTATTTATTCCATTTTTTTACTATTATTTTTTACGATTCTTAATTTCCATTGATAAAAATAAAATTTGATCACCCCCAAAAAAGTTTTTTAATCTCATTGAAATTCCAAATTCTTCAAATTAATTTTTGTATGGGAAAATTCAAAATTTTCTCCGCGGCTAAAAAGTAAATTTCATGTATTTATTTATTTCAACTCAATTTTTCTGTTTTTAATGATTGTGGAGGGTCGTGCCTGCGTTTTAAATTGACAAAAGCTTTGGTCCAGGTCAAAGCGTCACCTGAAATCAACCCAAGAGAAAATCAGCAGTCTGGAAAGAGCGCGTCACCGGATGAAAAGCGCCCCACCAGGCGAGTGTTACGAAAACGAGCACAACTCCTCGATGGCTTGTTGCCCTTTCGAGGAGCATCTGCACCACATGTGCAGAGCGTCGCTCACCATGCCGTCGCCGGCACATCACAGGTACAGCTACCACGGGCCCTGTGGCTGCAGCACGGCTCACCTCGCTGATCCGCCTCCGCCCTACGACTACTTCCGTTGGAGATATTTCATGAAGGTACCCTGGCACAGCCAAAAGTCCAAATGAATGTTGATAATGATTTTTATTTGATGTATTTTAACTTATGACATCCAACTTGAAGTACATGAAAATCGCAAAAAAACGTTTGGTTTTATTTTTATTTTAAAATTTTACAGAAATATTTCTTTTTTAAACTATAATGAAAATCAACTTATTTAAAGTTTTAGGTTTCTTTCATTATAATATGACAGAATCTTGTATTACTTAACAAATTATTACTATTTATTTTTCCTTTCCCTTTTTCGGAGGCTGTTTTGGGCGCTCGGCGGTGAGTGGTCCGTTTTGTCGTCTCCCATAAAGCTCAAAACACCACTCGCTCATTGTTCTGAACGCACATGATGATGATGATTACTATTTGCCATATAAAGTTTCCCTTTGCTCTGTGCCTGTGAGGCGATCCTTGTGATGGAACATTAAAGTCGACCGCCAGTCCCCTCTGTTCGAAATAAGCTGCTTTGCGCCGAGGATTAAATAACACCGCTCGGCTGCCGCTTTTACGCACACAATTAACTCAAATGAACACACACATGCAAATGAGCCACTGTGAAAAATAATACTAAAAATTTTTGCCTTAATTAATTTTAGAAAAAATTTCTATCACATTCCAGAGTCCCATCGGCGACGTGGAGGAGCGGATGCAGCGGTTGGAAAACGAAAAGGACTCCCTGCGTCTGCAAGTGTCTGTCTTGTCAGAGCAGGTTGAGGCGCAGTCGGAAAAAATGGCCGATCTCGAACGACAACTGTGCGAAAAGAAGCGAGAACTTAGTAAAGCCCAAGAAATGCTGCAGCTGGTATATATGAGATTTGTTTTAATCCAATTATATCCAGTGCTCATCGTCTACGTTTGGTTTGCAGGAAATGCTCTCCAGATCATCTCTGGAGACCCAAAAGCTGGAGCTGATGGCCAACGTTGCCGACATGAAGAGACGCCAGGCCCTTATGGAGAGGCAGCATCTCGAAATTCAGGAAAGAGCTCAAAGATCTGAGGCTGAACTGTCAAATATGCTCATGCAGGTAATGAGGCCATTCCAGTTAATTTTAACCAAAACATACAAAATAATATAAATTATATAAATTATTTAACAAATTAAGCTATGTATAAAATCATTTTTTATTTTTAGTTTCAATTAGGTATAAATTTTTTACATCTATACAAAAAGCAATCATATTTGAAATTTTTTCAAAAAATCTGTTTATAGGTGTCCGAAGAAAGGCGCCGACTCAGGGAAAAGCCACCAGTGGCTCCAAAACCAATGGGCCCCATGCTGGTCAGCTCCACGCCATACAACTCAATGACCTCAGGAGAATCTCCGAGCAAAGTAATAATTCACTTTCAAGTTTCCGTCCATGCACCCTTTGATCCTACTATGGAGACCAATAGATCCTAATTGAATGCTCTTGCAGTTCTCGAGAGGCACTTCACCCTCTCCAAGTCTTGGCTCATCCATCCACAATAGCATTGCCAGTCCACTGAGACGATCAGCCTCGGCCACTGCCGAAACTTCCCTGGACGACCATCCCCCGCCGCCAAAAGTAAGTTGAAGTTCAAATTTTGCAAAATAAGGTTGATTGTGCAATTAAATGTTTTGCCATGCAAATCATAAGGGGATTTTGGTATCCACACTGCACAGACAGGTTAGAAAAATTTAAATCTGATCAATATTCATATATTTAAAAAAAAAACTAAATTAAAAAAAATGCCTAGATCTTATAAAAGTAAGAAAGCAACGAAATTCACGAAAATTATTTTAATATTCTTTTAAGCTTAGAATTGCTTGAAAAGCTAAAAAAACGACTTTCATTTTTTTCATACGAGTCAGAAATAAAATATTATTCTAAAACTGCAAATTTAATCGATACATCAATCTTTATCTATTCATTTGGCAAATTTTTTAATGAAAAAAGCTAATTGAACCGTTTTTCAAAGTGTTTATAATTGAAGAAGATCATAAAAATAATTTAAATTAAAAATTTAGTAATAAAGTTTGCATTTTTGTTTGTTTTGTTTTGCATGCTTATTGTTAGTTAGTCAAGTCACTAATATAATTCTAACTTTGCAGACCCCTCCCTCAAGTGCCCGTTTCAGAGTGGACCAACAACAGCAGCACTGCGGCACAATGCCTCGCACCCGGGACGCCGCTGGCCTGAGTTCACCTGACCTGGACGCATTCAGGCCCTCCCAACGCAAAACCACCACGGTTGCCTTCGGTAAATCGTTTATGTCGTTTCGCACAACGTCAAGCACAGTGACCAACAGTCGGAGCAGTTCCGCTCCCAACTTAGGTGAAGGCCTGTCTTTATAGGCATGCCACCAACTCACCTCTTTTTACTCATTGCCAGACTAGCACCAAACTACTGTTGCGCGTGAATGAAAGAATGCTTTCGCCGCTCAAATTGAAAATTAAAATGCAGACACACTAATCTCTCACACACACTCTCACCTTTGACTGGTTTTGTATTTTACTTGATTAACTGCTTGTTACTGTGCTGAATGAACACCAGATGATGCTTCCACTGGCTGAATAAATATCTAAAAGTGTGTGTAGCCAGTGAGTTTTAAAATTAATGATTGACAAAAGTAAAATTTTTTAAAAGTGTCATCAATTAATCACGAATAATAATTAGTATTTATTTAAATATTAAAATATAGAATGGAGTGAAGTGATTAACAAAGAAAAGCTTCTAAGGATAATTGTATTTAGTCTACTTAATAGTAAAATTTAATTTTGAATTCTACAGCCGAAACTGAAAAAGATGGCATGGATGCAAGAGACGGAGCTGCCTCTCCGCAGTTGAGCATTAATCAACAAAAACCAAAAGGCATAAAGAAAATTTTCGGAAGGTATTTGAAAAATATAAACATTTAAATTCAAACACCATATGCTTCATAACCCTCTAAACTCAATCTAGAAGATACAAATTTCTAATTCAATGAAATTTTTCATCAGGTTAAAACGTAGTGGTTCTGGCAGCTTGGACGAACTGGTAGCTGGGGACGGAAATGAATTCCAGAGAGGAGGCGTCAGGGCAACAACTGGAGGTCGGCTTGGCTGGTCCAGAGACTTGACCTCAGAATTCCCTCAGCGCAGTGTTGTGTAAGGTCATGTTTATTCAAGATGAATATTTCTTTATTTGTAAACGAATTCCCAGTCCTGATCTGCCACTATGTGAATGGGACACTGACACGGTTTGCGGGTGGCTTCTTGAAATGGGACTGGAAGCTTATGTGCCAGAAGCAAGACGCTTCGTTAAGGACGGTAAACACTTGGCAGCTTGCACCAATCACGATTTGGATAAAGAACTTGGCATTAAGGTACAAAATTCACATACAAATTTTTATGTCGAGTAACCTTGAATTTTTGCCAATTTTTAGAACACGTTTCATAGAAAGAAGCTGCAGTTGTCGATAGCAGCCATTGGCAGCTCAAATCCTTCCCCTCCCGACATCCAGCTGCTGTCCAAGGCGGCCTCTCTTGATGGCGCCTGGGTGCTTCGGTGGCTGGATGACATTGGTCTTCCTCAGCACAAAGATGCATTTTTGGCGGCCCGCATTGACGGCGCCGTTCTTCACCGACTGACCACTGAAGATTTAGTTGCACTTCACATCACCAGCTGCCTGCAGGCTGCCAGCTTTAAAAGGGGCATCCAAGTAATAAGATTTTCTCCTGCGTTTCCATATGAACTAATTTTTTATCCTTCAGGTCCTCCGTGAAAATGAATTTAATCCCAACTGCTTAATAAGGAGATCGAGCCCTGAGGACCAAGGCGTCTCTACGGTGCTAGAGGTGTCCCTGTGGACCAACCACAGAGTTATGGAGTGGCTCCGTGCTGTCGATTTGGCAGAATATGCGCCAAATATGAGAGGATCAGGTCAGAATTCCCATTTTTTCCTTATATTAACTCTAATAATTATTAATTTTTATAGGAGTGCACGGTGCTCTTATGGTGCATGAACCAAAATTCACCGCTGAGCTTTTGGCGTCTTTGTTGGCGATCCCTCCGAACAAGACGCTCCTTCGAAGGCACCTGAGCACCCATTTCCAAGAACTGGTCGGTCGAGACAAGATCAGTGAAAAGCGGCAGATCGAAGCTCAGCCTGGATTTGTGCCACTCACAGCTACTTCCAAACTCAAAGTAATTTTTCTTCCAAAAAAGAAACACCATTCTAATTTGATTTTAAGCCCTCGAAAAAGAGCCAATTTACGCTGAAGAAAAAGAAGATTCGTGCCGAAATGGAGTTGGACGACCTTGTGTGTCCCTTGGACTCAGAGAGCAGACCAGGTGAACGACTCAGTTCCATGTCTGATGTAAGTCCCACTAACAAACTCACACCTACAAGTCAAAATGTCCTTTAACAAAATGCGCACAGCTGTCATTAATTTCCTTAAGTGTCGGTGCTTCTCTGGTGGCGAATTTGAAAATCATTGCTGGGGTTGAAAACAAACCTGATTAAATGATGAATGTTTTTCTTACAAAGTTTCCTGTAAATAATGTTAGCAGGCTCATCAAAGGGTTCCCGCGGACGCAGCTGCCTCTCCGGCGGGGAGCATGAGTAATTCTGTAAGTTAATTTTTGCTAGATTAAATTGGGATATTCTTAATTTGGAACCAATTATTGTAATTTATGATGATGATTTTGCGAAGAAGTAACTTGCTAGTTTGTGCCAATAAAGTTTTATTGCTTAATATGTTTCAGGGTTCTGACAGGATGAGTTACGTGTAAATCAAAATTTACAACTGTAAAGAAAATATTTATGACTGCCATGGATACCTATTCACCATTGCCACTTTGAATTGACAATATTTACTATGGCATCTTAATTGGAGATAATAAAAATATTAACATGTTAACCTTTTCACTCATTTAACTTCCATGTTAACCGTGTTTTGGATGAAATACAATAAAAAACGAAATTCATATTTTCTGACAGCATCAGCATAACATTGAACACGCAATAGTTTCTATCAATATGTCACCCATGTCAACTTTTATTTATTTGGTAGAATTAATTTGAGATAAGATAAATGAAAAAAATTCTTTATTATTTCTTAGCGATTTCAATTACAAAGTTCTATTTTTAATAAAAATCTTGAGCTATTTTTTTTATATTTTTAAATTATCACTTATCTGTTACATTTTTATTCTAAATCAATAATATTTTAGATCAATTTAGTTCCTAATGTTATTGCACTTCTAAATTTTCTTGTTAGTGGATAGTTGCTGTGTGTATGGTTTTGTCTATGATTATTTCGCTGCTTGCTTTACGCGCGGCAGAAATAACCAAGCAGGCAGCGGGAGTAGAGTAGGGATGCAGGTAGTGTCAGCGCTGTGTTGTTTTTCAACGTCCTTCTCGTTTCACGCTCAGTCTTCATTCAGTCCTACGCCTTGCTGGAGCAAATTTAAGCCACCCCACACCACAGTCGCAAACTACCACTCAAGATATCAAAGCATATCTTGATGTAAGTAAAATAATTCATTATGACTTTAGTAACATTTTATTGTAAAATATATTTCCTTTGATATAAATGTCGCTCATACTTTAGAATTTTTTCTATTGAATGAATTTCTAACTTCTCATCTTTAATTATTTTCTTCATTTAAATAATTTAAAAATTAATCAGCGAGAAACTGTGCCCTACAAAATATAACTAACTATGTGTCGCAAATTATCTTTCATATTTTTCTCGTCTCCTGATCTGCGGTCATTTTTTAGGGAATCGAGCCAACTTTATATCACTTTTTTGCTGAGGTTGTCGGCATCAATAAAATTTAGGCCGGGGTTAGATTTGTAGACGTGCGTGGCTTTGCCAACGAAAAGCGGCGCGCACACACACGCATAGTCCTGCATTATTTGTTATTTGTTTTGGATAAAAGACCGTTCCTCTCGTTATTAGTATTCCTGCGAGCTGCGCGAGACCGAATGCCCACAATCGCCGGCCATGACCTAAGACTCGCGATCGAGCAACGCACACCGTCCATTCCAATTAACATTTTTCTAGTCGCCAGCACAATTTAGACGAGGTTTGCCTCTAAAATCTTTGAGATGAGAGCAGCCGGTCGAGAGTAAAAACGACCTTGCCTGTCACGGTGAGGGCTGCTTGAGTTTCATTCGCCAAGTTGGCCCAGTTAAATTTGAATCTCAAAATTGAAATATGTATTTTGCAATGAACTGAAATAGTATTTGTAAAATATTTTTATCGTGAGAGATTTTATTGATTAATGATATGCAAGAAATTTTACTCGTCCAAGCAAATTCAAAAAATTAAAAACTAAAATTTTATATTCATAATAAGTTAATACCTACCTGCACTGTCGTTAACGCCTTTTGCAAAGTAAATAATTGCTATATTAGCAAGAAGAACAATCAGATGTTTCAAGATTGGTATCGATTGGTATTATGTATTGTCAGCAGACTTTATAATTTTTTTGCAATAATTTTTGAATTTTTTTTCCACAATTAAAATTTTTAACATTTTATGCATATTTTTCACACCTTTTTCACAATTTAATGCATTAAAATTTCTTTTATATTTTGACAATACATTTTAACGTTCAGCACTGTTTTTTTCCCTAGCTAATATTATCCTTATTTTATTTTTTTTTTTAATTTGCATTTTTTACAATATTTTTTTTTTCAATATTCATCTGACAGTAATTTTTAGAAAATTTGCCAATCGATTTCAGTCAAAACATTGCATTTGAGTGAATGGAAAATTTAAAATTTCTTTTAAAAATTTTTACTTTTAAATATAATAGCTGATGTCAGAGATCAACATGCAAACATTTGATCATACGCAAACTCAAAGCAGACGAAAGTCGCTGGCTTTTCTTCGCATAAATAACTATTTGTCTGATACTGGAGGGAATTCATCAATCATTGCACTCGTCCACATTCCATTTGGTAGTATAGCGGTGACTTGCGTTCTTCGAAGGTGTGGTAGAACCTCTATAGTGCCCATACGGGTCAAAAGCGGTAACCCTTTTTGGACATAGCGAAGTATAGAAAATTTAATTAACTGTTTTACTCTTCACCACTTTGCCGATCATTGCACCTTGATAAATATCTCAATTTTTTTTTTGTAAATCTTAAGTGTTAAGTTTAGTATTTAATAGGGATGTATAAAATAATAGATTGCGCAATGTTTGAATTTTTACTTCAGCAGCAAAATTATTATAATTATTTGTAGTTTTTGGTCCAAATTTTAGTAAAAATTTGCATGATTAAGATTCTTTCATTTTTCAATTAAAGTTAAAAATGAAGAGGATGATTGAATTTTTTAATGGAAACGATTGAGAAAAAAATTATTTTTTTTGTAATCTTTCTTCTTGATATTTTTGCATAATTCAAAAAAGGGTTTTTAATTTTAATTTTTTTTTTTTTAACATTTTAATTGAATTAATTGTGAGCTCTTAAGCTTCCAATTTTTAAACCTCCTCATCGTTTTAGACGCAAAATAAATCAGCGGCAACGCCGTAATTTTTTATTCACATTAAAGTCACCTAGCAGGTTTTGCATTCTTGGCGGACTCTTTACAAGAAGGCATTCAGCATTCTTGTCTGGAATTGAAAATGCACTTTTGTCTCTTATCTTTTTTCCGTCTGGAAGATACAATTATAAACAACTTTTGTCACTCTCTCACGGTCACTGTGTCGCCGCTTTTTGAGTATAAAAAGCAATATAGGCGCTCCAAGGGATAATTTGGCAGTTTCTGGAACATCCTATTCCGCGGACTGTAGCTCCTTTTTAATGGCAGAAAAATAACAAAATGCTTCTTTTAGCGGTTCCGGTCGTAAAGATATCAATCACACACAAACACAGGGAGCGAGAGTATAAGCCCGGCGGCGGCCAGATAAAATAAAATTGCACGCGCGGTGTAATTATGCAAGCCATCATATAAAAAGAAGCTAGAGATTTAAACCTGAGACAAGAAGACGCGTGATGGGTGTTGCAGCAAGAGAAGGTTAAGGTTTCACAAATCACACAAAGCGTCAGAGATTCACAGAGGTGATCGTAATCCAATGCAAAAACCGTGAAGTGTTTTGAATCTTCTTTATTAAGGATGCGTGAAAACGTGCAATTATCTTCAGTCAAATTTTATGATTTTTAATAATGGTATTTTTCTTTTATTTGTTAAAATATTGCAATTTGAACTCTATGGGATTTTTTAGAAGTTAAAATTTAAATAATTAATAATCTAAAAGTGTCACATACATATTATTCCTTTTTTATGCCAATACTTTTCAGTTTTTAATTCTTATTATTGAAATAATTTAAAATTTGGTAATTAACTAATATAATATTCTTCCTACAAAACAAAGGTGTATATCAGAGAAAACAAAAATGCCAAAGTACAAATATATATATATATATATATATATATATATATATATATATTCACAATGATAAGCATAGCCTTTCTGTTAAATATGATACATAATTATCAAAATGATGATTAAATCATTCAATTCAATAATTTCATTCGTTAAGTGCGGTAAGAAAAAATAAATTTATGTTTTGACAGTTTAATACCATTTTTGATAATTTGAGTAAAAAGTATGACTTAAAGATAACCGGATATTACTTATGTTTTTATGGGCCGACGTAAGGATGCGTGAAACTATTTGCTTTTTCTTCTGCTGGCATCGAAAAGCGTTTTTTTTTTTGCAGGTTTAAGAATAACAAAAAATTGTGCAGACGAAATCGAAAGCGACACACACGAGTCCATTCAGACGGCTGGCCATTAAACACGAGCGCGCGCCAGAATTCTCCTTCGTCATCTCGATAAATGTCAATTTGCAAACGCAGGGACTTTCATCCTTTCAAAGCGCGCTTTGTTTGCCGGAGAGAGTTATTTGTTGTGTCGCACGGAATTAATTTCGATTGCTTAAATTTAGTGCTGTGGGAAAATGACGTTCGATTTGAATTGCAAAGAAAATGTTTGCAGCTGAACAACTGTGGCGTGTCAACACAAAAAGAGCGTGTACCGAGTCTGAAAAAGAAGGTCGGAAAAGGCTATGAACATTAGTGCCAACTGCCATTGTTTGCGTTGCAGCGGGTGTTTGTTTGCGGCGACACCAAAAGTGTGACTCCATGGGCATTTTAACTTTTGAGTGCCTAAAGTTTCATTGGGGTTTAAGGAGCTTCTCAAGGAAAACGTTTTATGACAAACACAAAAAGGCAATGGTAATTTGTTTCTTTACAAAAATAAAGCTCCTGCTTTTTTGATTTCAAATATTTTTTAACGTGTTTATTGTGTCTTTTTTTTCAAGACGAGTTATTAAGAGTAAAAATTATTTTCGAATTCAATAAATGAGCCTTGCTGTGATTTTAATTACAGTATTATGGTTTGTGCGTATCTTTGCAGTGATTTTATTCCACCTGATTTTAACTAGTGACATTATTTCGATCATTTAGATATAAAATATTATTTCTAAATTTTAGAACAGTAAGATATAATTACTTAATTTAAAGAACTGACAGATTCTTAGCAGACAAATTTTTTTCCATAAAAAAGACTGGTCATAGAAAAATTAAATTATGGAGTTATGCTTTAAATTTAAAAACGTATATAGCCGTGAAAAATTCTTTCTTGTAGTTTAAATCAGTGCAAGATCTTTTGTGAAATAAAGCAATTTTCTTGTCTTTACATGAGATGCCCTAGATGTAAAGTAAAACACCAAAAATGAAATCAAACTGCCCCCAAGAAATAAGTCACGTAGATTTCTATTGATAAAACATTTTGAGTTTCCCTTCTATCAGATAACTCGCAGGCAAAACATGAAAGTTCACTGTGCGTATCCCGCGGCCCAGTTCGACCTCCATTTTCAAACACCTTCGATCATCTTTGATGAGATTTCAAAGACTCCATCACTTAACTAAATGTCAAATTAATTTGCCACAGAAGTGCCAATTTAATTTACCGTTTAAAATTTTCCATATCATCGCATGTTTGGAAATTTGCTGAGGACAGGTGGTGTAAGTTGATTTTCTATGCTGGCGAGGCTGCACGCAAGTTATCATTATTAGAAAAAGGCAAGGTCCGAAAACTGTTAGGATGCATGTAAGATTAATCGATAATAACCGCCTTGTATGGAAAAAAAATTAAAAGAAAATTACATATTGAGCGGGTATGAAAATATTGAGGTCGTCGTTTGAAGGCGAGCCGAGTTGTCTTGGGTTCGTTCAACTTTTTCAAGAGGCGACCTTCATTTTCCGCTGTGCGCGGAAGTGAAAAAAGGTAACTTTACTTTCTGCGACTACAGTCAGTGTATATAAGAAACTTGCAAGATGAAGGCGCCACACACCAACGTGACCTTTCCAATTTGCACGCTTGGTTAGCGTCGATGCGTGAAATTATTCGGTGCTTACGTAATGAGGTGATGAGCTACAGTCCAATCACTCCAATCATAGACACCAGTTCTAAATTCGGCGCTGTTTTTATACTTGGATTCAAAAAGAATCAACAATGCATTCTACAAAAATTAAAGAAAATACGTATATTAAATTATTATTTTTTTCTTTCTCAATATTTACATAATTCTAAAACAAATGTACAAAATATTTTATAAATTAAATCAAGCCTATACAAAAATATCGTCAATATTTAATAATAAATAATTTTTTTGTTTTTGTTTTGTATGATTAATTGAATTAATTTTAACAATTTTCTTCTGTTCAAAAAATAAATATGGGGATCAGTATATTTTATTTATGTTAAAGCAAAAAATTTAAATTATATATCACTACTTTAAATTTATAAATATCAAGAAATGCTCAAACATTTGCAAAATGCGTTTAATACTGAAATGCATCTCAATGTCATGTTTTTTTTTTTTTAAATAATGAATTATAAATCTTCATATTTTATACATTTATTTTATTTGTATATAAGTTGCTGAGATTTAAATCTGTAAGCCGTCGTTATTTATATCCATACAGTGCATGGGTCAGGTGTCAGGTGCAATGAACTTGCTTCCTCGCTGCAATAAATCCTAGACTTTTTCTAGCTGCACCCAACTTATTATGCGTGCAGCTGCTGTGCAGAGAAAATATGTTTAATAATTGCCTTTCGCGGCCGCGCTTGATCGGAATTAATTGTGTTCTGGCGTCATTAACCATAAAACTATAATAAGAGGAGAACGCGTGTGCCTAATAGATAATCACCATAAATATAAGGAGAGCGAAACTAGGCAAGCCATTAAATCAAGCCGAGAGAGTCGCGGGGCGAAAAAGCGCAGCAGATTTTCAAGGTGACGCCGCGACCAAGAGGGAATTATAAATTTGCTTATGAAACGAACAAGCGAGTGGTCAACGCGTCTTATAGAGAGGGAACGCGCGTGAGTGCATTTCTTAATCGGGATTGCACTTTGGCGTCCCTAGCCAGTCGCCTTGTTCCATTAGCACAGTTTGTAATTCAGTACAGCACTCGCACTCAGCAGAGGATACGTGGGTGAATCACTTTTTCATCCATATTTTTTTATGGTCATACAAAAATTAAACAAATTAACACAAATATACTTTCAAATTATACAAAAAGAGTTAAAATTTTAGAATATAATTTTATTAAATTTTATTTATTCAAATTTTGTTAAAAAAAATATTATTTATATATAAAACGTTTTGGTATCATAATATAAGTTAAGTTACTATTAATTTATTACAAATATTTAAAATAAATTCAACAACCACTCAAATATCTAATTAACTGGATAAAAAAAAAATTATCTTTACCACGAGTTGTCTCGATAAAAATTATTCGACTTTATCGTTAGTTAACGTTTCATTTAAATTATCATCATTGTGCATTAATTAAACTTAAATATGTAAATGCACTAAATTGTATCTCTGCCTTTGTCTACCTCAAGAAAACTAAGATCAAAGGGAAATAACAATGTAATTTATCACAAAAAATGTACTTTTCCTCTGGATATTATTTTTATCAACTACTAGATGGCAAAAACTGTGATCAGTGACCATTTCAACAAATCAAAGTCAACCTAGGGCTCATTGCAGCAGAGAGGGGATTAGATTTGAAAGTTTTTGCTAGTGGTGCTTCCTTTGCCCATCAATTCATGTTTCCCTAGAATTGTTTTTATTTTAATTAAAATTTATTTTTGTGTTGACGCCAGGCCAGAAGTTCAACTTTTTGCGTCGTTGTTGACATACGGTTGAAATTAACAGTGTCGCGCTGATCACACGCGTCACAAGGTGCAAAAGAACCGCTAGTTGATGGAGACGAACTCGTTCGGAATGCGAAATTATACGTTCAGTCTCAAGAGGGAAAGAATTAATAAAGTTGTTTAAAGAAGTAGGAAGATGATTAGCGAGATTATTTATAAACGATGTGTTGATCGCACAGCTACCGCGCGCCTTTTGAGAAAAAAAATTGCTACCTGAATTAACGCTATTTTTTTTCTTCGTATAATGTTATGTGCATTTTGAAGAATAAATATTCAATTTGCCCCTCCTTTTTGATGTAGACGATAAAAAGGCTGAAAAATTATCGAAGTAATAATTCTCGACAGGATCTGCAGAGAGAAACTTTAAAAGAAAAAGAAAGACCGCAGATTGAACGCTCGTTCAAGTCTCTCCTTTTTGTTCCACTTGCATGTGAAATCGAAGTTATTCAAACAAGTTAATGATTTCTCTTGGCGTATTTTTTACAGAAGCTTCTTTTGAAGGAGGAGGACAAGGAATGCACTGTGCCTGAAAGCTGATCAGCATGGTGTTGGTTTCAGCAGCTGCAGTTTCCAGCTTCTTCCTTGCGACCGCGGCTTTCTTCCGCGGATTCACCGACCCGACCACCACGCGACGACCCTTCAGGCCGGCAGTGCCAGTGAGTAAAATCGTTTCAGCTCAAATTTCAATAAAAAAAATTTAAAAATTGAAGAAAACTTTTTTGTATGTCGTTTTTAACAAACTTGAGGTAAATTTCATGAAAAATCTAAACCTCTCTTTGGAAAAATGAAACATAAAGGATGGCAGAAGAAGCTATCGGAATTTTAGAGAAATAAATTTAGAGAATAAACGATATTCTGCAATTTTCAATGATAATAAATTCCCGATTTTATTTCTAAATTTTTTTTTTTTTTAAATATTGCCCTCATTAGTATTTTTAGCAGGTTGCATTTTTAGGTCTCTTGCCATTTAATTAAGTTCCTCAAGGTTTAGCCCGGTATGATTTATTCATAAATTTATTTGTTAAGGAATTTAAAAAAGAACCGCACAATTAAATTTTTATCAAATTTGCTGTTTTTGCAACGCAAAAGAACTGGATTTTTTTGAATTGCAAATTTAGAACAGAGCTGGTTTTGAAATATTTTTAACAGCCGAAAATTTCCTTTTAAGAAAAGAAACTCAAAATTTGAGCCAAATGAGATAAACGTGATTGATGAGATTCACTGCTAAAAAGGGAAGAGGAACACGTTTTTCTTTTTATGACTTTTTGTATCAAGGTCACGGCAGCTGCGATTTATGGTGTTCATTTAAAAAAGGGCATCTTCTTATTTGCCGTTTTTTTTTTACTCAGCGGCAGATGAGAGAATATTTCCAGGAGAAAACCTCGTTCGGCTGCTTTTTAATTAATGCTTTACAAAACACACTCTTGATTAAAAAAATGTGGGCCCAGTACTATCAGGTTCATCTACTTCTGCGGCTAGTTTAGAAACGACGCACATTTTCTCGGCTTGATTGCTGCGAGAGAGGACGATTTTCACAAAAGTCAGTCATTAGCGTTGGATCGCCCAGAGACAAAACTCGCTAAACAACCTCCTGTAAATTTTTAATTTTAAAATATATTTTCTACTCCAACCCACGAGTGTGCAATTATTTGGCTCATTGATTGCGAAAGGACGTGAGTGAATTGTGCTCTGTTAAATTTTTCTTGGCCTTCAGCTCTGCAGATCGAGATTGATAAACTTCATAATTATCGCGTTGTTACAGTTCGACGCTCAATGATAAGTTCTTGGTTGTTGTTTAGCCTCAACCGGAAGGATGCTCAAGCAAAAAGCATGAGAACTTGAGTAAAGAAATGGTATAATAATTCTAGTATTTAACTTTTTATCTTGAACATCGGTAGCAATAAAATTACGAAAATTGCACTGAATTACACTTTGATGGTCACATTGTTTGTTTTTCTCAGTTGTTTTTACTTCAATGGAAAAAAAGGAGATGCAAGAAAATTGGCTAGTTGAGTTTATCCACATTAAATGATTTAAAAATGGGAACTTTTTCCGCTACAATAAATTCACATAGATTGCTTCTTATTAAAAAATTTAAATTTAATTTTCACAAACAAGTTATTTGGCACTAAATTTTGCTGTTCTAATTTTTTGATGTAATTTTATGTATATTTAAATTAAAAAAAATAGCATCACATAGAAGTCATAAAAAAAAACAGATTAAATACATTTTTTACATTAAGAATCCGTGACAACTCTCTTTCAAATTTAACTTGTAATTTTAATATGATATAAGTGATTGAACTTTTAAAATTTTATGGATCGATTTAATTGCCATCAATTTCGATCTTTAAAATAAAAGCCAACCATGACCTTGTTAACTAAAAATTGTAGCATTCAAGTTATTAGAAATTTTAGTAAAATTTATATCTGCTAAAAGCTTCCCAAAGAAATTGTGTACATCCCGCATTTTATGTTCTAACTTTTCTTCGTAGACTTTTACCCATAGAAAATTATGTTCTATTCCTCCTTGACTGGGAGATATAAAAATATTCCCATAAAAACCATGAAGCCTAATCAACGAGCCATTTAGCCTTGTTTTGTTTCCTAACAGTAAATTGGATCCCGATTTTCACTTGACTTTCCATCGCGATAAAAAAATAATCCGGCGTCGAGAAAGACTCGCGAACGGCGGAAGTGCGATGGCAAAGAAGATACGCACAGGAATCTCATGGAAATTTAGTGTCATTGGAAAAAAAGTGGAAATAAATCATGCACGGCGACGCCTCGGAGGTAATGACACCTCATTCATAATATCCGCCGCCGCGTATTAGCGCAAAGGCCGCGGAGTATTATTGTTATTGTTGATTTCGGATGAAAGTCTTTGTTGATCGCCGTGACTCTTTGACCTATCGGCGCGCACAATATTTTATCAGCATCGAAAGTACGATCGCATTAAACGCACCCGGCAAGGTTCCACCGTTGAAAGTCGCTTTTTCAATTTAGGGGTCACACCATAGCTACCGATTTTGAGCATTGAGAATTGTTCTCTCTTGAAAACGGGGAAGTGAAATAATAATCCTCTCGTCCTTTTTTTTCCTCCCACAATTTCAACCAGGAAATACGCCCTGGCAATATTTTTGCATTTTTATTCGTTTTCAATGCTACTTCTGCAACAAAATTTTATTGCTAGGGATTTATATTTATTCCCTCTCTGTTTGAATTTTATTATTTTTTATTAAATAATTCACTCTCCCGCAACTATTTTTCTCCGGCTTTTACGGTAGGCTTTTGCATTTATGATAATAACACGGTAGAAAGAAAGAAAGAAAAGGAACTTACCTTGAGAGGTCACTTTGATATAATACGATGAATAATGTATCTCATTTGAGTTATTTTTTATACAAGAGAGATCAGATTGCAACGGAATTAACCATAGCTAACTTTATAATTCATTCAGTACGCATATTTCAACCAACACCCAGTACTGTTTTGCATTGTTAAGAATGTCAGGCCACACAATTCATTCTATATTGGTTTCATTCATTGAGGTTTTGTTGACAATAAAATGCTGAAATGTTTTGAACAATAATTAAATAATTTTATAATTTCATAAAAAAGATGTTATGAAAGTTTCATTAGTTGTAACATTAAACATATTTTAACCATTTTAAAGTTCAAAACCAGAAAAATTAATACATTAAATAGCTCTTTTTCTTGCATTGCTAAAATAATACATAATTATTGCATCCCAAATAATTTTGTTTGCTTGTATTTCTTATAAAATATATAAATTAATCGATATCCTCACACCTAGCCCATTACATTAATTGAATTCAGATATTAAGTTAATAATTAGTATAATTAACAAATATCAGAAAAAATAATTTTAGGCTCTTGTTTATGGAATGTTGAATTAAAACTGTGCTTACTTAGTTTGCTTGTCTCAATAAGTTAGCTTGCTGAAAGTCGACTAAACCTGTGATTTTAAACGATGAAGCCAAAGATTGTGATTTTTTTCTAAAGCTATAATACTTTTTGTAATTTTTTTCCAGCGGAAATTTATTGTAAGCTCGAGTGCATTGAATTAATTATTTAATTTCACGCTTTAATATTTCATCCGCAATAAGAAACAGAATCGATCGCGTCGGCACTTGTCTCTCTCATCTTTAACAGCAGGGAACTCTAAAACAAAGCCGGGTGATTTCATGCAAATCAATATTAATGACACGCAGCGTCTCTTCGTCCACATTCAAATAATAAACGCACACATTAATAATTTGTAACCATTGTCTACCTAACAAGTCTCGCCACTTTCATGTTCATCACATCGCCGAATTCAATTTTATCAACTCCTCATTCGACAAGGATGAGGAAGAAAAAAAATAACGCATCTTCCTTTTGCCATTTTGAATGAGTCAAAACCGCCGCGGCAAGGAAGAAAATAGGCGAGCGGATAATGATGCACGTGCGAGACAAACAAAGAGGACTTAGGAAAATTGCTTCTTCTGATAAACAGCAGTATGTAATCTGGTTGACTCAAAATTTTAGCACTCAAGCCAGGTAGGAATGTTTCCAAGGTTAGTTGAGACGACGCGGACGCGACTCGTCGCGAAGCTGTTTTGCGGGCGAATTACAAGCAAGCGAAAAACTGGCTGTGAGAGGCGCCGGCCGCTCACCAGGAAGTGTTGTTTACGTTGTTGTTTCACCCTCATGTGACTTAATTGAAGGAATATTTGAACACACTCGAGGAAATATTTGGATGATAATTTCTAACGCGTGCAAATCAAGCTAAAAGAAATTGCAAACATCAGAAGTTTACACTGTTAATTGATGCGGCCACGACTTCCATGTCAAAAAAAGGATGAAATTAGTTAAATTAGTTTCATTTCCGTGAGTTTACGGCTTCGAAATTTTACAATCCAGAAATAATTTAGTCAACGAGGTTTGATTATTGTAAAAATATTTCTTTAGCCGCACGAGACACAATTTTTGGATGAAATGGAGCGTGAAGGTCGCAACAACCACATCGTAAATTTGATTAATTTAGTATAATAAAAGTAAATTTTGAACAATCATCCTTGTTGAACGTGTTGGCTTTATTGAAACAAAAAATAAACAGATTTTTGTGTATTGTTAAGACAAAAATATTTTGGGCGCCACAAAGCGTTTGACTGGGAATACTTTTTTTTCGTTATTAGTTTGGACTTTTCTCAGTCAAACGTCAATTGATGGAAAAATATTACTTTGCAATTAAAAAATTAATTATTTGTCTGACTGAAATAATTGACGATAATTTATACATTAAGCGAGTTTTTATACTTTTACCTTGTACCATACGGAATACGGAGTCATCAATTTCTCACTTGAAGATAGCGGAATATAGAATTCTTTCTTCTGCTATCTCTTCCTATATGCATCATTTCCCTGATAATGAGATAATGAACGGTTTCTGTGTTCGTTGTAATGAAACCCAAGCAACACAATCCAACTCTAATTAGACACACGTGAATTTTCAATTTCGAGAGGGTGGGCATACTTTCAGGAAATTAAAAAATAATAAGCACTCGAGTGTATAAATTGCACTCACATTTTTTTCGCAACAATAATAATTAACCGCGAAATAACCACTATGCTGAAATAATAACGCCAGGCATGATGTCATAGCCTGTAATCGTTGGGCACATTAGGATAATTAGTCAATTGGCGAGAGGGCGTGAATCGCTTTGAATAAACAATTTGAAACCCGGAAAAAAATTCAATTCACATTACTGCGTTTCCTCTCAGCTTGCGTATGTATATATTTTTCTTCAGGGCGTATTGTGCGCATACTTTAAAATAAATGTTGATGTTTTCTCTTAAGACGGGATAAATATTTTTTTCGCAGCATCCAACTTCGGCATTGACCTTCGCCTTGCTTGACGTGCATCGGTTAAAAAGGGCACGAAGATGGACGGAATGAAACAATAATTAGCCTGGCGAACGCGTAGAAACTCCAAGTTCCCAAAACATCTCGCAGTTTGTTTTCCTCCTTTTTTTTATAAATAATTAATTCACCACAATGCTTATCGTCTTCTCCGCACGCAACTTTGCACAATCGTAGGATTTAGAAATCCATTGTTGTTCGCAGTCTATTAAGCGTGCATGCTGGGAATTATGGATTTAAAATTGAAATTTTAATTGTGGTGTACATACGTGAGACACAGCACGCAGCGCTAGATGGGAAGTGAGAAAAGATAAGTCGTGGGGTAAATGTGAGCTTTATGAGTGATGATAAAAATGCGTACGTGAAAAAGGCATTGTTTGCACTTCGGTCTGGTTTACTGATGAGGTGCGCAGACGGAAAAATGATCGCAATTACTATCAGGGCTGAGAGAGCTATTGCTTCCTCTGACGTAAAAGTAATTTGATATACACCAATGGCAAAGCCCTGAAAAGGGTCAAATGGGAACGTTCGAGAAATGCGATTCAATCATATACAAACTGTCTTGAAGTTAAGCTGCCGTTTCCTCTAGGCAATTCGACCGGGCATTTCAAGTTCATCTTAAAAATTTTCAATTGGGATTTTCTCGTGAAAGATTTTCATTTTTAATTTAAATTTATTATTGTCTTAAATTATTCATTTAAATTTTCTCTGCATGGGAGTTAAAAAAAACGTGTGCATATATCTCATTGTCTCAACCTCAATACATTACTTAAAATTTTTTCTTCATTTTAATTTTTGTTATTTAATCTATTTTAATTTATTTATATTTGCAATTTAATTATTTTTTAAATTTAAAATCGCGTATTTTTATAGTTGAACCTGAGATTTGGAGCGCCGCCACCGGCGCCAACGGTCGACCACCTTGATGAGGAAGCGTCAAACCACAATACGATTCCGTCCTCGTCGGACACGCTAATAAGCAGTAATGGGCACCAACACATACACCACACGGTCGGACACCACGACGGCAACCTGTTTCCGTCCCGATTGGACAACATCGACATGGACCGGATTCTGACCAACCGCCGCTTAGTTCACAACTACGTCGGCTGCATGGTGAACCAAAAGCCGTGCACAGCCGAGGGCAAAGAATTCAAAAGTGAGTATACTTAAGTCTGTGTTTAAAATTTTTATGCAGACAGAGATTAATTTGAATACAGGAGGTGCACGCATGGGGGCCCATACTTTGTCCGAAATCTAAAAGTCCCGACTCGAGAGATGGGAAAATAGAAATTAATATTGAATTAAAATGTATAAAATCGAAAAACATTATCACCCAAAATCATATTTTTTTTATAAATTAATTTTTATCTCACCCATTTGAGTAAATAGAAACCTATTTTCACCTAAAAAAATCAATTATAAGATCATCTTGAATCAACTATTTCAAGATATAAATTTTCACCTGAAAACACTTAAATTATTTCAGAAAAATTGCATTTTGAAAAATTTTCACCTAATACCAGCCAAAATAAAAAATCAATTCCTATCTTCCATAAATAAACGCTTATTTCGCAAAAAGTATCACCCATTTTTCCTAGAACTAGTTTAGAAATTTTAAAAATTGAATTTCCTAAAAAAATTATTATTTTTAAATTCTGCAAACCGCTTGGCAGAAATCATAATTTTTGAACTTGCATTTCATTGTATTTTATTTTTAACTTTGAGACAAATAATTATCAAATGAAAAAATATCAGACATTCCATTTTTAGGCAAAGTGTGGCGACACCTCGCATGCATATTTCTTGGATCACGTAAGAGGCCAAATGATTTTCTTTGATGCGCAATTTCTTAACCTGAGACCCGAGACGGTGATTAATTTCAAGGCGCCGTTTCCGAAATCGAAAACCAGATGTGTGGCACATCAACGGTCAACGCTGAATTTTCTTCCGGCGCGCATAGAGAAACTTGTTTTGGTCGGAATTATTTGCGTTGTGTGCGTCAATAATGACCGCCACGCGGTGCGGTCAGTGGGGGCACAAGCCAAAGTCAAGTACACGCAAAATGTGCGTCTCGATTGGCTCAATTATTGGGTTGTAATGTGAGGTCAGCGGCGATGAAAACTGGACTGAGTGATAGTTTTTTGCATGCGCTGAGGAAATTTCACTAGCCAGAGAGGGGCCCTGACTTAGGATTCAGCTGATGGAGTTGTTAAAGAACCGCAATCATTAGTTCTGTAATTTGGCTACCGTCGAAGGTTTTTGACTTTTTGCCCTGATTGTATAACGCGTTTCGCAAAACAGGAGCAAATTAAGTTAGGCTTTTTGCTGCCAAATACTCAGAAAGCAGCCAATCCCAAAAATATATCCTGGAAATAGTAAATTTGACAACTGTATGACATAAAAATTGAAAAAAAAAACTTTTTCTTGGACTTTAAATCTGGGAAGAATTAAAATTGGTAAATTGCTACAAAATGTAAGAAAGTTATTTAAATTTTTTATTTTTCTTTTCTTTATTAGTACTGGTACATGAAATGTAAAAAAAAAAATACAGAAAAAATGCGACTGTTGTTGGAAATTTAGTGGGGAAAACTTGCAAAAATTTACTTAAAGCTCAAAGATTAGTAAAATTTTCTACACCATCACTAACTTTGAATGATTTTTTTTAAGGCTAGATTTATTTAATAATCTAAAGTAGAAAAATAAAACAAAACCACTGCGAAAAATGTGTTTTTATCTACTTTTTCTCTCTACCTGAATCGTTGATTTCAGTGTCAAAAGTTTGCATTTTAAGTAAGTAAAATTGCGAAGAAAAAATACAAGAGATGCTTGAGAATAACCAACAGCGAGGCGTCTCCTTTCACAATTAAAATATCTCTCGCCCATTTTAATTGCTTTTTATTTTACTCTTCCGCGGCCATAAAAGGCCGCAAATAGGCTCAGTTTTACTTCTGCGGCCGAGACGACAAAAAACTCGTCTCGCAAAGTTTTGGGCAGTGAAATCTGTTTATGATTATTTGCGTTCGGCAGCTTTGATGATTTGCTACTCTCTCTGATAGTCAGATGAGATCCGATGGCGCCACGCTATGAGCTGGCGAATTAGTTGTTGGCCTCGGATGGCAATGATTATTACCATACAGCCGAAAAAATCTATCGCCACGCTGCATGGATTGCAAATTTTTTGCCTTGATTCGAGATTTTAATTTGCTCAAGCTTTATTATGTAGTAATTGCGTGCAGATAAAAAAGAATGCAAAAATAACTTTCGAGCGTGTGCGAGCTTCAAGAGCAAAGCAAAGCTAAAAGCTATTTGAATTTTACTACGGCTTGCGTACGTGAATATGTGGCCTCTACTCTTTCGTTATGTTATTTTATCCACGACCCGTTTGTTCGCGCAGAGGTGACAGAAAGACAATGCTAAATAAGCCAAATATTGATCGAGTGATTTCGCAAAATCTCAACTTGCAGGCGTGAAAAAGGCGTGAAGCGCGCGAAATTCACATAAAACAATACCTGTATATTTACTTTACTATTTAAAACATTATTTTCTTTGGTAAAAAATACTTTTTATTTGGAACAAATATTGAATTTTATTATCCTAGTAAAATGTACAAGATCTAAAAATTAAAAAAAAAAATTATAATTAAATTATTATTTTTGTAACACAAATTTTGGAAATCATTTTAATGAAAAAAATTAATTATGATAATACAATACAATTACTAATGAATTGGAAGTTAAATTTCAATTCCTCGTGATAGTAATTGCTTTGTTTTTTTCTTTAAAAAAATTCAATCTTCATAGAAAAGACTTCCTACAAGTTAAATTGGGCGTAATAATTGGCAAATTATTTTACGGTTGAATATTGAAGTTCCTTCCTGGAACTAGTCGCTCATTTTTGATAATTTTTGGCCCACAGTTGGTGCGGTCGTCGTGACTGCAGCTCAAATCGCCACTCATTTTCGGTGCGAACCTCTCTCGCTATATGCGTGGCCGCAGAGCAAAGCCAGCTAGGTGAAGGTCGCCTGTGCTGCCCGCGCTCACAAATGTTAATAATGCAATATGTACGCTATGCAAATTGCTTATTAAAACGTGTGTTTTAATCAAATTATTTTCTTTAACCACTGAAGCCTTAATAGAAGTATGAAACCATGGTTTAAAGCGGTTTATAGAATACTCATTAATTATTCTTTTTTTTTCATACTAGACATTAACTATTTTTAAAATTCAGATTTGTATCTAAAATAATATTGCCCTTTTGGATTCAATTACTTCAACTAGCTCTTGTTTTCTTCAATAAAGCAAACCTTTCATTTTATCATCCCATTTAAATTTTCCTTTTTCTGTTATACAAAAGTAAGAAAAAAAATCTTCATAAGTATAAATTATGTGAATCATCACCATTACGTATATTTATGCACAAAAACAACACATGAAAGGGAAAACGGACGAGATCGAGAGCTCAGTCAGTGACCTAGAAATGAGACAGCGTTGTTTCTTTTTTCCAGACGACTTGTATTTTTATTGAGGACAAAATTGTACGAGAATATCGCATTACCAGACGATTTATCATTCTAATGCTGCAATTGGCCGAGAATATAGCATGTATGTGAACTCCCTCTCGTTACACAGACCATTACGTAAAACGACGCCACTTCAAGTCAACAAAACACACATGTAGGCCGGACAGGCCATTCTGATCGCCCGGTGTGTTAGTGGAATAAACGCGCTCTCCGCCCTTGAACCAGTATTTAATTAGTTATCCATTAGGCGAACTGAACTCTGCGTAAAAGAACTCGTTAATTATCGTTTCCAGCAGCTCAACCATAATTATACTGAATAGATCTGTGCGAGATTCTGCCGATTCTCGCCATTTTCCCAGGCCTGTTTGCTTTTCAGGCGGTGCGAAACTATAAGTGGAAAAATGCTTTATTTACATTTTAACGGCCGCTCGACCTTGCTTTTATAATCTAAATAATCGGATGCTAATCTCAATCAGTTTTGCCGCATCATCATCGCTTGGAGGAAAATTTGTAAAAGCAGGAGTTTATATAAAATAAATAATGATAATAAAAATTACGCCTTCCACGCAAACGGTCATGTCCAGTGCACGGTTGTTTCAGTGTATAGAGTCTGGTTCATAATATTTTTTCTTCAATTAAAATAGTGATTTTTTGAAAAATAAAAAAGATTTAAATTGTTCTAGTCTTGGTTTTTTTTTTAAATTTATGATATTTGATATATATTAGGAATTAATAAAGTTTATAAAAATTCATATTTTTTTTGTTTTACTTAAAACAAATTTATTTAATACCATAACAATAACTTTAAATGTTTTCTTACAAATACATGACTGTTAACCGTATTTAAATCATGGTTATAAAATCAAAATAAATTCACAAAGTGCAAATTATTTTATAATCAAAAACTTTACAAGTGATCTGTCTGTCTTAAATCTCTTAGTTGCCTCTTTATATATGCAATGTGAAATAATAATATTAAATTCTCCAATATGATGTAAATGATTAATGCTGAAAATAGCCAAATAATCTTCTGTCAAAAGTATGGAATTTTTTAAAAAAAAATCTCCTTTTTTATAAAAAAAAAAAAGTTTCGTTATGTACAAAATACAACTAAATAAAATTAAATTCTGAAAAGTTCAAAATGATGAAAAATAAAAATATCATTTTTACAGGATCTCTGCCGGACGTGTTGCTGACCGAGTGCTCCAAGTGCAGTGTGCAGATGCAGCGCAACATAGAGCATATGGTGCACGTACTGCAGAAGGAGTACCCGCTGGAATGGAAGCAACTGGTCAAGCACTACGACCCTGACGGCAGTTACCGCAAAAGATATACGCAGTACCTGCTGCACATCGACGGACAGGAAGAGAGCCGCTCGACCACAACGCCCGCCTAGAGGTGTCGCCCGTCCCGACCGGACGCACGCACCTGAGGCACGTTTTTTCTATTTATTGTTAAGAAGATGAGAAATTGAAGAAAAAGAAATGAACAAGCTGGTTTTGTGCAAAAATGTGGTTTGTGTACATAGACTGATTCTTTGTAATGCAATATTTTTATTTTAAACTGACGTGTATTAATTCTCTCTTCTCGAGAGGAAAAAAAATGTGTCAAATTTCTTGTCTCTTTATTAGTGTTTTACTTTTTTAAGGATATTGTGAAGGAGAATAAAGATTTCTTAAATAAAAAAATTTCAATGTATTTTTATTTTTTATAAAATAATTGAAAATAATAATATATCAATGAGAGGGAAATTTAAGTGTTGCTATAATTTTCTGCAACAGGTAAGATAATATTAATAAACAATAAATAAAATAATGTTCAAGGAAAATTAATTGGACCATAATTAAACTTAACTTTTCTCTCTGGGGTGCTTTAACCTGATATTTAATATTATAGACAAAAAAATAGTATTAAATGCACGTCAACGGGTTTCTCAGGGTTTCTGTAGGTTTAAAACAAGTCAAAATCGAGTCACAAGTGCATAAGATCTTAAATGTATGCAACTTGCACAGGGTTAATGTCGTACAGGCTGCATAACCCAGATTGAACCAGGAGACTTCAACACTCGCAATAGTTAACGATCAAATATACAATTTGGAAAAAAAATCTCTGGTTAGTAAACAACATGGCGAATTAAAGGGAGTTTTAGGTGAAAAATTTGATGAAAAATTTATTAATTGCAAAGCAGAATTCTCAAGCTTTTGGAATATTAATTTTAATTCTATAAAATCTGAAGAATCCATATAATCAAGTAGCATAATAATCCTGAGACAACAATAATTATAAGTGGCAAATCGTGAACGTAGGCTCCACCTGGTTGCCATTTGAAGAGAAGAAGAAAGATGAAGTGACCACAGGTGGCGCACCTGAACAAAGCGTGAGCTTATGTTTTATACTTTTTTCATCGCTTTTTATCAAATAACATGTAATATGGAATGATTAAGTGTGAGCTGACACAAATGACAAAACTCGCGGTACTGGGTTAAAGTTACTTGATCAATTTGGTTCGAATTACAAAAGAAAATAAAATATATGGAACAATTTAAGAACGTTATTATTGGGAGCTTTCTTGCAAAACAAATTGTAAATTTAATTTAATGATTTAACTCATAATAATCATTAGAAAATTTAAATTTATTCATTTATTAGACAGAAAAAATGCAAAGAATAGGTCAGGAATAGGTAAAGTAAATGTACTATAAAAACAGATTTAATTATTTGTATTTAATTTATAAATAAATATATATACAGTAAATAAACTTAATTTGCTGTGCAACTAAATAATTTTGCGCAGTTGTGCAAATTAAAATCTGAAGTTTATTTTGTTCCCAAGCTATAAAATAACCTTGATTTGATTAAAGCTAATTTTTCTAGAGACTTCCTTGGAAGCGCATAAGATTGGCTCCTTCTCGAACACCATCCTGCGCGGCTTATCAAAAAAGAGTCGAATATCAAAAAAGATCAGAGGCCGCGTGCGTTACTCGCGCGCGAGAGAGGGGCAGCAGAGATTATTCGCTCTGACTGCCCACTATATAGCGCCCGCGGTGCGGCGTCGAGTCTCAGAAGGTATCATGGCTCGCGCGTTGCTGCTCCTGGTCGTGCTGTCCGTCGCCCTGTACGTGCAGGCGGCGCCTCCGCCGGCCAAGTACACCAACAAGTATGATGGCATCGATCTGGACAGGATCCTCAGGAACGACAGAATTCTCACCAACTACATCAAGTGCCTGATGGACCAGGGCCCTTGCACCTCCGAAGGGCGCGAACTTAAGAGTAATTATTTTATAATTTATCTAAATTTTCAAACATTTAATTTAATTTGAACCATTTATTCAAAAGATTTCATTCATTAAAAAAAGGTTATTTTGCAATACCTGTTGAACCTGTTGCTTTTTATTCCTTTTAAAAATGTTGAGATTTGAATTTTTCTTCATATTTTATTTTGTTCAAAATTATAATAGTGCATTTGTAAATTAGAGGCATTAAAAAGTAATCACAATTATCTTCAAAAATCCTAATGGTAAGAGGAAAAAATTAGGGAAAAATTCAACGTGTCCTCGGTTTCACCGTGAAGTTTTTAAAGCCTGTCAACCGTGGTGGCCGTGCATAATTTCGGAGAGCCCAACGCTGGGTTGACCTCTACGAAAACGTCACGCTTGATGCTGCATGATGCCAAGGATATTGGTTTTGAGAGCGCAGTTTCTTTGGCAAAGGCGCTAATTTCGTATGCTAACGAGCACACGCCTGCGTGTCTCAGCGAGAATAATGAGTTGGCTCTCTTTTATCAAGAAGCCCATTAGCAGTTTGCATAATTATACACCTATATATTGTTACGAATATATGGCGAAGGTGAAAGTGCCGCCAATGATGAAATTTTCGCTGCACATAATGTAATGACGATACTCTATAATTTAAAATTCTGCGTGCATTTCCTTCTTAAATTTCTAATTTAATTGATAACAATAAAAGTTCCGGTTCTTTTTCCTTGACCTAAACAACCAAGTAAAAAAATGATCAGGTTTTATTTGAGAAAAGGAATTGTTAATTATTGCTCCAGGAAAAGAAGCGGCTTTTGGGAGAAAGATTCAATTTGTTTCTCTGACTCACGATCGCGCATATAATTGAGTGTGCCTTTGTCATTAAAATCGAACAGCTCGCTTTCTCCTGCACTCTGTTTAAGAAGGAGTTGTTGTACCAACAGTGTGTGTTGTGGAGCAGGATAAAATATACCTTGCAGCAGAAGCTAATGACGCGCGCCGTTATAGCTGTCTGGCTGTTTGGTGTCTCGGCCGGCAATAGGTTGTGACTTTACGTGGAATACGCATACTTTCACCTATGGGCAAATACCTGCCGAGCACTGGCTGATTGCAGACACCTCGTTTGATTATGTTGTCAATTTCCTTGTTTGCAAATGACTAAGTAATTATTATTAACTCATATACTGGATATTCCCATGTTATGATGGATACAGAAGTATTATATAAGTTTTAAACGTATTTCTTTACTTATGGATTAATACGGGATAAAAAAATTTTGAATAATGTTTTCTAAAATATATTTTTTTAATCCAGTTTTTCCTCAATAAATCAGTAATTTATATTATAGTTTTAAAGCAGAGCGCAAAATATATATCTGCATAAAATTTCTTGATTAATTTGTTCAATTTCCAATATAAAAAATATTTTCCTGTTATTGCAAGTCTAAAAGAAGATTAAATTTAATGAATCTAATTATTTAATTATTATTAAATACTTTTAATTTATCGAGAAATTAATTAACTAAAGATTTCATTCTCAATTTTCCAAATTTAATTTTCAATAACTTTTGCAGGAACTCTTCCCGATGCTCTCGAGACTGACTGCACCAAATGCAACCCTAACCAGAAGACGGCTGCCGATAAGGTGATCAGATTCCTGATCGACAACCGCCGAAAGGACTTCGACCGTCTTGAGAAGAAGTACGACCCCAGCGGTGCCTACAGAAAACGCTTCGAGGCTACTCTGCAAAAGCAATAATACAAACAATTTCCTTGTAAAACAAAATTTCCACGGGCGCCTAACAAAAAAACCCAGCGCTTATGACGCAAATCAAGGAGACGCGCATTAGTGTCAACGCACCCGACAAAGCACATCAAGAAAAGAGCCCTATCTACTTATTACATTAATAAGGCTTTGGAATTACCTATTATATATTTGAAGTACAAAAACGACAAGATTGAAGAGAATTTCAAATGAGATGTTATTACTATTCATCATGCACAAGGTCACATACTACAATTTAGCGCTTCCGCCGCGCAATGCGTCTCAAAAAAATACAAGATTTTACATTTTTGATAAACAACTATATTTGCATTTTATCATCGGAGAGTGTTTTTTAATAAATTATTCTTAAGCAAATTGGTGTTTCTTTTCCCACCGAGATAAAATTATTCTCAGCCTTTTCAATTAACAAAACGACTTTTGGTGGTTTTTTAATTGAACATATAAAACGTCTAGTGTTGTCCTTAATGTTTTATGTATTTCGCCTTGATTTTCGACCACTCTTTTGGGTACCTGAGCTGCGCGTAGCGAATCAGTCGAGTCACGTTGGCCTTCACAAAAGGCGAACAGTTGGCGCAGTTGGATTGCAAAATTTCTGGAAGCAGATCTGCGAATATTCAATTTAACAATTTGAATTTTATGTGAGAAAAATATTAAATAACACATAAATAATAAAAAACCCAACAGACCTTTCAACCTTTGTCCAAGAGGATCGCACGGCAACTCATCCAAAACGCAGCGAATCTTGCGCTTGACAAAATCCTGGTCGTTCAACTGCGAAAGGCTGACCTGCGTCTGCGGCGCAGGAGCTGAATTCGCGGCTAGCGCCATCAAAGCCAAAAAGAAAATCGCGACTATTGTCTTTTCGCTTGTCATGCTGTTAGCGGGCAGGAACTCGAGTGGCTTGTGAAAAGAACACAATAATTGGCTTTCCCTTATATTTGACAAATTAAGAAGGTGGAGAGGCTAATGCAGTTTATTTTAGTAGAATTGCCTGCGGCGAAAACAAGCCTCTATTTAATAGGTTCAAACTTTAATTTGCATGCGTCAATGACACTTTCTAGGAACAAAATGACAGTCGCGGCTACAATAATTATGTTGCATTAATCACCCAAATAATAAGTTAATGTTACAGCAAATAAATGCATACAAGAGTATTCAGTCTGTCGCGGTTTGAAAATTTATTAAAATATAATACATATAATTAATAGGATATATAGTAACAATAAAATTTCAAACGCGGTACTTGGCACGAACTTGGGCCACTTCATTAGGGTATCTTTGCTGAAGCTTCGCGAGCACTCTCCTCGCCTGCGCCTTCTGCTGAGGAGTACATTTCTGGCAGTTATTGCGTCCGTAAACAGGGATGGCCGCTAGAAAAATGTTGGAAATAAAATGTTTTACACCGGAGATAGTTTTCTTAAAGCTTTTTCTAACTGTAAAAGCAAACTCGTGTGTTGGATTAATTTACGAAAGAGGTGCGCTCACCTTTGAGGGCATTCCCGGCGCGGTCGCATGGACCCCTGTCAAGGACGCAGTTGAATCTTCTCCTTACTAGCGCATCATCATTGAGTTCCGCTTCGTTGAACCTTTGGGCAGTCTGGGCAAAGATGACCCCGGACAGAGCCAACAGGAGAAGCGCCACAAAAACTTTCATCGCAATCGAAGAAAAGTAAGTGAGACGAATTGTAGTAAACAAGGGCCTTTTATACGAGACCTTGGTGGCCTCGCTTGTTTTTCTTTCAAGCGACAAAAATATTGGGAATAAGAGACAGTTATATCTAATTGCCTAAGATTCTCACCACTTAATTATTGTGGTTAAAATATTAAACGCAGCATCAATATTTTTAATTATTTTCCCTTCAAATGCATACTTTCTTAACATAATTAGTTTTTCAAAATTTAAGAAATAAAACACTAATTTAGAAATTATGTTCAATTTAAATATTTATTTATTCTTTCATGACATTTTAACTGACATTGAAACACTTGACTATACAAAATATCATTCCCCAGCAGCTTCACTTGACATTTTAGCAAGCAATTTCATCAGAGTCTCAAATCTCTCTTTGATCTGCAAAAAAGTTACATAAGGCTGATGACTCAATAAAAATTACAAGTCTCACCTCATCTTGAGTACGTCGAGGGATCAAGTGCTTCATATTTTCAATCATGTTTGCTGTGCCTCCCTGTTCAATCACCTGCAGAATCACTTTGTCCTCGTCTCGAGTCCAGTCTTCAGGGGCTTCGTCCGACTTTTGTGAGTCAGCTTGTAATGGGGGTTCAACCTCAGGAATAGGCTTTTTCTCAACTAGAGAATCTTCCCGATTTTCAGGAACTGGACTGGCAGCACAGCTTTTTGGCTCTTCCTTGATCTCGACTTTCACTGGCTCAATTTTGATATCCTCCATTTTCCTAAAATATTTTTCATTAGAAAAATAAAATTTAAAGTAATCATAAAAAAAATACATTATTTGATTTATTTCAGTGTCATCTTGGCTTGAATCGTCATCACCAATAATTTCAATATCCTGATCCTCCTCCTCTGGTATTTCCTCATCATCCAAAGACTCTTCGTCATCAACGTCAACAAAATCAATGCTCTCCTCATCGCAGGCAGCAACGTCCTCTCTTCCGTTTGGACTCATCATTTCTCTGCTATCGCACTCATTGTTCAGGGGTACCGTATCACAGCTGGAGCTCCCAGGGCTCAGGAGATCGTGGCCTGGACTCGATTTGTTCTCTGACGTGTCTATGCTCAGCTGCCGACTAAAATTGTGTTTCCCGTCAGGAGTGATTTCCGTCCTGCGTGACTTGAATTTGTAAGATTTGGGCGGAGAGCAGTCCGAGTCTCGGTAGCTTTCGGAGTCGTCATTTTCCGACTCATGAGAGTGGCTCTTCGGAGGACTGTCCTTGAGGTGAGGGTTGTCGGCGGAGAATGAGTTGCCTGTTCTCCTGCGCCTGGTTCCAGTCTGATGGGACATGTCGACAGAAAGGCGTTTGATAGCTGAGTGATTGTCCTCGTTGAGGAATGTCAAAGTGGCTGGCTTTAGTTGTCGGTTAGAAACAAGGTAGATTTTCCCATTTATAAACTGGAAAAAATTAGGCTGTAGAAATACATATTGCAACAAAAAGTGGTGCTATAGAATACCCTTATTCCGCAGGAGGTGCAGTGATTGGCCCTGCTTTTCAGCATTTCGTCATCGGTGCCACTGTGGCACTGACAAGGACAATTATCACCTCCTGTCAAGTCTTTGGATTCATCACATGGAACATTTATCACTTCAAAACTCTCGTCTTCATCTTCGACACCTTCCTCGTAAACGAGCTCCTCAAAGTCCGTCATGGAACTATAATATTTTACAGAAAGTATAAAACTTGAGTGATTTTATAGGGGGTTTACCTTTCTGGTGGCTTAGAGTCTGGCATTAATTGAAGGAAGCAGTCCGTTAGGAGCGGGTTTCCTTTCAGCAAAGGAAGAATCACAGATTTGACATCTTCTTCTTTAGCATCAGTTTGTTCAGAAAAAGCAGCCAGGTGGCTGAGGATTGTTTTCAATACTTGAGGCTGCTTTGAAAACGCTACCTGGTGATTAACAAAAATTAATGAGATTTAAATAATTGTCGTCTAGAGAAATTACTTCAGCCTTCAGAAGAAAATCAGTTATGTTAGCCAGCTCTACATTTTCCATGGTTTTGCCACAAGTCAGGGCTTCACCAGGTTGCAGGAAACTTATGAAAGGATCCAGCAACTCATTCCTGTCTCTGAAGAGATCAGCAACAGTCTCGTAAAGGGTTTTAATACCAGCGTCTGTGTCTATGACCTCATCAGCATCGACAAGAGCTTTAATGAATTTGTCAAAAATTCTCTCGCCCTCTTCTCCTTCGGCTAACAGCTCATCTCGCACTTTATTGAGATAAGCTTGGGCTATGACTACAAGAAGAAATTGTCAGTGATAAAAAATAAATTATCTACACAAATTACAAGTTTCTCGGTCTTCGAGTGTTGCTGGGTCGTCTTGCTGCAGTATGTGAAGGGTGGCTTCGAGCTCTTTTGAATGTTTTGTGCGTTTTACAAGGTGACTTTTTCCTTTCAGACTGGGAATCACAGTGGAGCTGGCACGCATCAACGCTGCCAATTCTTCTTCGTTATCCTAAAAAATTAAAAGCACATTGGTTATACAACTTGTTTTGCATTAATTTTGAAACCTTTTCCAGCGGTGATGAAGGTGCGTCAAAATCAACATCTTCCATAGGCTCATCATCATCTCCTTCAGGTCTTAAATTTAAATACATAATTTAAATTTTTAAGCTTTTCATTAATAAATTTTAGAAAAAAATACACTGGGGAAGGAGATCTTGCTTGCATGTCATCTTGATCCTCAGAAGAGAAAAATTCCTTTTCAGGTGACAATGACTCCTGTTTTTCAGGGCTAGAACCTGATCCAAATTCAATGTCAGAGCAAGAAGATCCGGAATCAAGTCGTTGTCTTGAATTTTTAGCATTTTTTATAGCCTAAAAATTAATATTTTCAAATTACTATTAATGCTATTTTAATTTTTTAAATTAAAATTACCCTGGCTATTACAAAGTGCTTTTTGGCACTTTTGGCCTTCCTCTGGGCATTGTATTTTTTTAATATGGGGGTGACATGTTTCAACGGAGACAGCTTTTTCATTGATTTGAAGGATAACACGTCAGGACTCTTCTTGGGAGTCCGCGCCGTGTTGTCTTCGGTTGCCAACATCGGTGGAGACTTGAAAGGAGATCTTTCCGCGGGATGGGGGTGGCTGTCACCCCCGTGGGTTGTAGGGGTGCGACATGATGGTTCCGCTGGATTCACACGGGCACCAGCATCGCCATTTTCTTCAACGGGGGACGTTGACCTTGCAGGGGTAGCATTCGGCGGCACGGAAGACATTGTATCTCGATTAAAAAAGGCGTCCCGTGACTAAAGAATGCTTATTACAAGCCGATCTGGCCGAATCAAAGCCAAATTCGGCGAAAAAACGGGCTGAAATTTACGTCCAGCTGATGCCGAGAGCGCATTTTAAAAGAAACGCTTTGATTTGATTGATCCAGACAGATGCTACGCGCTGATTGGCCGACGGCGCGCGCCAAGTTTGAAAGTTTGGTAGAAATCGCGTCTGCCTCGTGTGATCGACAATCAGCCTAGCGGGTGTCGCTTTTTTCGCCGTGAATTCGCCAAAATTGACACTGAAAGCGAGTAAACGGGTGTCCACGCGCTTCTCAAACGTCCAGAGCAGACATTCTACCAGTGTCCGACCGCTTTTATCGCCAAATCCATAGATATTTGGCGCTTTTAAATGTCGACCTTCCACAGACCGAAGGTGTACCGCTCGACGGTGGGTTGCTGCATCTGCAAGGCGAAAAGCAGTAGCAGCCGCTTCACGGACAGCAAGAGGTACGAGGAGGACTTCATCGAGTGCTTCCAACTGTCCGAACAACGGGGTGGTGAGATCTGCAACGCCTGCGTCCTGCTGGTGAAACGGTGGAAAAAGCTGCCCGCCGGCTCGCAGCGCAACTGGAGTCACGTCGTGGACGCTCGCTCCGGCCCCGGCACCAACAAGTCCCTCAACAAGTTCCACAAGAGGAAGCCCAAGTTAAGGGCCAACCTCGTGCTCAAGTCGAATGCGCCGAAAAAACTGCAGGATGCCATCATTGGCAAGCGGAAGAAGCACACATATCGCAAGCAGGTGAGTTCCGTCCACCTTTCGAACCATCTTTCCTGGTCAAATCCACCTTAACAACCCCTTATTCCCCCTTTAATCAGCCCATAAAACCCTCGAGAGGAGATATCAACCTTAAAATTCGGGTTCGGTTTTGAATTTGGTGGAATTCTGGCCACTTTTCCGTAAAGTGCCTAATCAGTGTTGGCCATTTTAGGTCATCGAACTGCGACCTAGAGAAAAGAGCATCGCCCTTTTTCCACCCGTGTATCCCTATTTTTCGGGCCAAATTCGCGTGTGAGGCGAGCCTAGAGGGGGTCATGCCGATTTCAGGCCGAATCGGGCGCCGAAATATCTCCGAAGAATTGCATATTGCCAGCTGTCACTCGGCTCATGTCGCTCGAGCGTGAACTGGAGAGAGAGTGAAAGTGGGCCGGGGGGGCTCATTCGGCCCGACGCTTATTATTCATTCGCCTGCCCCGGTGTCGAAGTCGGCATTGTCATTTGTGTCAGAATAATGAGTTGGCTCTCTTTTATCAAGAAGCCCATTAGCAGTTTGCATAATTATACACCTATATATTGTTACGAATATATGGCGAAGGTGAAAGTGCCGCCAATGATGAAATTTTCGCTGCACATAATGTAATGACGATACTCTATAATTTAAAATTCTGCGTGCATTTCCTTCTTAAATTTCTAATTTAATTGATAACAATAAAAGTTCCGGTTCTTTTTCCTTGACCTAAACAACCAAGTAAAAAAATGATCAGGTTTTATTTGAGAAAAGGAATTGTTAATTATTGCTCCAGGAAAAGAAGCGGCTTTTGGGAGAAAGATTCAATTTGTTTCTCTGACTCACGATCGCGCATATAATTGAGTGTGCCTTTGTCATTAAAATCGAACAGCTCGCTTTCTCCTGCACTCTGTTTAAGAAGGAGTTGTTGTACCAACAGTGTGTGTTGTGGAGCAGGATAAAATATACCTTGCAGCAGAAGCTAATGACGCGCGCCGTTATAGCTGTCTGGCTGTTTGGTGTCTCGGCCGGCAATAGGTTGTGACTTTACGTGGAATACGCATACTTTCACCTATGGGCAAATACCTGCCGAGCACTGGCTGATTGCAGACACCTCGTTTGATTATGTTGTCAATTTCCTTGTTTGCAAATGACTAAGTAATTATTATTAACTCATATACTGGATATTCCCATGTTATGATGGATACAGAAGTATTATATAAGTTTTAAACGTATTTCTTTACTTATGGATTAATACGGGATAAAAAAATTTTGAATAATGTTTTCTAAAATATATTTTTTTAATCCAGTTTTTCCTCAATAAATCAGTAATTTATATTATAGTTTTAAAGCAGAGCGCAAAATATATATCTGCATAAAATTTCTTGATTAATTTGTTCAATTTCCAATATAAAAAATATTTTCCTGTTATTGCAAGTCTAAAAGAAGATTAAATTTAATGAATCTAATTATTTAATTATTATTAAATACTTTTAATTTATCGAGAAATTAATTAACTAAAGATTTCATTCTCAATTTTCCAAATTTAATTTTCAATAACTTTTGCAGGAACTCTTCCCGATGCTCTCGAGACTGACTGCACCAAATGCAACCCTAACCAGAAGACGGCTGCCGATAAGGTGATCAGATTCCTGATCGACAACCGCCGAAAGGACTTCGACCGTCTTGAGAAGAAGTACGACCCCAGCGGTGCCTACAGAAAACGCTTCGAGGCTACTCTGCAAAAGCAATAATACAAACAATTTCCTTGTAAAACAAAATTTCCACGGGCGCCTAACAAAAAAACCCAGCGCTTATGACGCAAATCAAGGAGACGCGCATTAGTGTCAACGCACCCGACAAAGCACATCAAGAAAAGAGCCCTATCTACTTATTACATTAATAAGGCTTTGGAATTACCTATTATATATTTGAAGTACAAAAACGACAAGATTGAAGAGAATTTCAAATGAGATGTTATTACTATTCATCATGCACAAGGTCACATACTACAATTTAGCGCTTCCGCCGCGCAATGCGTCTCAAAAAAATACAAGATTTTACATTTTTGATAAACAACTATATTTGCATTTTATCATCGGAGAGTGTTTTTTAATAAATTATTCTTAAGCAAATTGGTGTTTCTTTTCCCACCGAGATAAAATTATTCTCAGCCTTTTCAATTAACAAAACGACTTTTGGTGGTTTTTTAATTGAACATATAAAACGTCTAGTGTTGTCCTTAATGTTTTATGTATTTCGCCTTGATTTTCGACCACTCTTTTGGGTACCTGAGCTGCGCGTAGCGAATCAGTCGAGTCACGTTGGCCTTCACAAAAGGCGAACAGTTGGCGCAGTTGGATTGCAAAATTTCTGGAAGCAGATCTGCGAATATTCAATTTAACAATTTGAATTTTATGTGAGAAAAATATTAAATAACACATAAATAATAAAAAACCCAACAGACCTTTCAACCTTTGTCCAAGAGGATCGCACGGCAACTCATCCAAAACGCAGCGAATCTTGCGCTTGACAAAATCCTGGTCGTTCAACTGCGAAAGGCTGACCTGCGTCTGCGGCGCAGGAGCTGAATTCGCGGCTAGCGCCATCAAAGCCAAAAAGAAAATCGCGACTATTGTCTTTTCGCTTGTCATGCTGTTAGCGGGCAGGAACTCGAGTGGCTTGTGAAAAGAACACAATAATTGGCTTTCCCTTATATTTGACAAATTAAGAAGGTGGAGAGGCTAATGCAGTTTATTTTAGTAGAATTGCCTGCGGCGAAAACAAGCCTCTATTTAATAGGTTCAAACTTTAATTTGCATGCGTCAATGACACTTTCTAGGAACAAAATGACAGTCGCGGCTACAATAATTATGTTGCATTAATCACCCAAATAATAAGTTAATGTTACAGCAAATAAATGCATACAAGAGTATTCAGTCTGTCGCGGTTTGAAAATTTATTAAAATATAATACATATAATTAATAGGATATATAGTAACAATAAAATTTCAAACGCGGTACTTGGCACGAACTTGGGCCACTTCATTAGGGTATCTTTGCTGAAGCTTCGCGAGCACTCTCCTCGCCTGCGCCTTCTGCTGAGGAGTACATTTCTGGCAGTTATTGCGTCCGTAAACAGGGATGGCCGCTAGAAAAATGTTGGAAATAAAATGTTTTACACCGGAGATAGTTTTCTTAAAGCTTTTTCTAACTGTAAAAGCAAACTCGTGTGTTGGATTAATTTACGAAAGAGGTGCGCTCACCTTTGAGGGCATTCCCGGCGCGGTCGCATGGACCCCTGTCAAGGACGCAGTTGAATCTTCTCCTTACTAGCGCATCATCATTGAGTTCCGCTTCGTTGAACCTTTGGGCAGTCTGGGCAAAGATGACCCCGGACAGAGCCAACAGGAGAAGCGCCACAAAAACTTTCATCGCAATCGAAGAAAAGTAAGTGAGACGAATTGTAGTAAACAAGGGCCTTTTATACGAGACCTTGGTGGCCTCGCTTGTTTTTCTTTCAAGCGACAAAAATATTGGGAATAAGAGACAGTTATATCTAATTGCCTAAGATTCTCACCACTTAATTATTGTGGTTAAAATATTAAACGCAGCATCAATATTTTTAATTATTTTCCCTTCAAATGCATACTTTCTTAACATAATTAGTTTTTCAAAATTTAAGAAATAAAACACTAATTTAGAAATTATGTTCAATTTAAATATTTATTTATTCTTTCATGACATTTTAACTGACATTGAAACACTTGACTATACAAAATATCATTCCCCAGCAGCTTCACTTGACATTTTAGCAAGCAATTTCATCAGAGTCTCAAATCTCTCTTTGATCTGCAAAAAAGTTACATAAGGCTGATGACTCAATAAAAATTACAAGTCTCACCTCATCTTGAGTACGTCGAGGGATCAAGTGCTTCATATTTTCAATCATGTTTGCTGTGCCTCCCTGTTCAATCACCTGCAGAATCACTTTGTCCTCGTCTCGAGTCCAGTCTTCAGGGGCTTCGTCCGACTTTTGTGAGTCAGCTTGTAATGGGGGTTCAACCTCAGGAATAGGCTTTTTCTCAACTAGAGAATCTTCCCGATTTTCAGGAACTGGACTGGCAGCACAGCTTTTTGGCTCTTCCTTGATCTCGACTTTCACTGGCTCAATTTTGATATCCTCCATTTTCCTAAAATATTTTTCATTAGAAAAATAAAATTTAAAGTAATCATAAAAAAAATACATTATTTGATTTATTTCAGTGTCATCTTGGCTTGAATCGTCATCACCAATAATTTCAATATCCTGATCCTCCTCCTCTGGTATTTCCTCATCATCCAAAGACTCTTCGTCATCAACGTCAACAAAATCAATGCTCTCCTCATCGCAGGCAGCAACGTCCTCTCTTCCGTTTGGACTCATCATTTCTCTGCTATCGCACTCATTGTTCAGGGGTACCGTATCACAGCTGGAGCTCCCAGGGCTCAGGAGATCGTGGCCTGGACTCGATTTGTTCTCTGACGTGTCTATGCTCAGCTGCCGACTAAAATTGTGTTTCCCGTCAGGAGTGATTTCCGTCCTGCGTGACTTGAATTTGTAAGATTTGGGCGGAGAGCAGTCCGAGTCTCGGTAGCTTTCGGAGTCGTCATTTTCCGACTCATGAGAGTGGCTCTTCGGAGGACTGTCCTTGAGGTGAGGGTTGTCGGCGGAGAATGAGTTGCCTGTTCTCCTGCGCCTGGTTCCAGTCTGATGGGACATGTCGACAGAAAGGCGTTTGATAGCTGAGTGATTGTCCTCGTTGAGGAATGTCAAAGTGGCTGGCTTTAGTTGTCGGTTAGAAACAAGGTAGATTTTCCCATTTATAAACTGGAAAAAATTAGGCTGTAGAAATACATATTGCAACAAAAAGTGGTGCTATAGAATACCCTTATTCCGCAGGAGGTGCAGTGATTGGCCCTGCTTTTCAGCATTTCGTCATCGGTGCCACTGTGGCACTGACAAGGACAATTATCACCTCCTGTCAAGTCTTTGGATTCATCACATGGAACATTTATCACTTCAAAACTCTCGTCTTCATCTTCGACACCTTCCTCGTAAACGAGCTCCTCAAAGTCCGTCATGGAACTATAATATTTTACAGAAAGTATAAAACTTGAGTGATTTTATAGGGGGTTTACCTTTCTGGTGGCTTAGAGTCTGGCATTAATTGAAGGAAGCAGTCCGTTAGGAGCGGGTTTCCTTTCAGCAAAGGAAGAATCACAGATTTGACATCTTCTTCTTTAGCATCAGTTTGTTCAGAAAAAGCAGCCAGGTGGCTGAGGATTGTTTTCAATACTTGAGGCTGCTTTGAAAACGCTACCTGGTGATTAACAAAAATTAATGAGATTTAAATAATTGTCGTCTAGAGAAATTACTTCAGCCTTCAGAAGAAAATCAGTTATGTTAGCCAGCTCTACATTTTCCATGGTTTTGCCACAAGTCAGGGCTTCACCAGGTTGCAGGAAACTTATGAAAGGATCCAGCAACTCATTCCTGTCTCTGAAGAGATCAGCAACAGTCTCGTAAAGGGTTTTAATACCAGCGTCTGTGTCTATGACCTCATCAGCATCGACAAGAGCTTTAATGAATTTGTCAAAAATTCTCTCGCCCTCTTCTCCTTCGGCTAACAGCTCATCTCGCACTTTATTGAGATAAGCTTGGGCTATGACTACAAGAAGAAATTGTCAGTGATAAAAAATAAATTATCTACACAAATTACAAGTTTCTCGGTCTTCGAGTGTTGCTGGGTCGTCTTGCTGCAGTATGTGAAGGGTGGCTTCGAGCTCTTTTGAATGTTTTGTGCGTTTTACAAGGTGACTTTTTCCTTTCAGACTGGGAATCACAGTGGAGCTGGCACGCATCAACGCTGCCAATTCTTCTTCGTTATCCTAAAAAATTAAAAGCACATTGGTTATACAACTTGTTTTGCATTAATTTTGAAACCTTTTCCAGCGGTGATGAAGGTGCGTCAAAATCAACATCTTCCATAGGCTCATCATCATCTCCTTCAGGTCTTAAATTTAAATACATAATTTAAATTTTTAAGCTTTTCATTAATAAATTTTAGAAAAAAATACACTGGGGAAGGAGATCTTGCTTGCATGTCATCTTGATCCTCAGAAGAGAAAAATTCCTTTTCAGGTGACAATGACTCCTGTTTTTCAGGGCTAGAACCTGATCCAAATTCAATGTCAGAGCAAGAAGATCCGGAATCAAGTCGTTGTCTTGAATTTTTAGCATTTTTTATAGCCTAAAAATTAATATTTTCAAATTACTATTAATGCTATTTTAATTTTTTAAATTAAAATTACCCTGGCTATTACAAAGTGCTTTTTGGCACTTTTGGCCTTCCTCTGGGCATTGTATTTTTTTAATATGGGGGTGACATGTTTCAACGGAGACAGCTTTTTCATTGATTTGAAGGATAACACGTCAGGACTCTTCTTGGGAGTCCGCGCCGTGTTGTCTTCGGTTGCCAACATCGGTGGAGACTTGAAAGGAGATCTTTCCGCGGGATGGGGGTGGCTGTCACCCCCGTGGGTTGTAGGGGTGCGACATGATGGTTCCGCTGGATTCACACGGGCACCAGCATCGCCATTTTCTTCAACGGGGGACGTTGACCTTGCAGGGGTAGCATTCGGCGGCACGGAAGACATTGTATCTCGATTAAAAAAGGCGTCCCGTGACTAAAGAATGCTTATTACAAGCCGATCTGGCCGAATCAAAGCCAAATTCGGCGAAAAAACGGGCTGAAATTTACGTCCAGCTGATGCCGAGAGCGCATTTTAAAAGAAACGCTTTGATTTGATTGATCCAGACAGATGCTACGCGCTGATTGGCCGACGGCGCGCGCCAAGTTTGAAAGTTTGGTAGAAATCGCGTCTGCCTCGTGTGATCGACAATCAGCCTAGCGGGTGTCGCTTTTTTCGCCGTGAATTCGCCAAAATTGACACTGAAAGCGAGTAAACGGGTGTCCACGCGCTTCTCAAACGTCCAGAGCAGACATTCTACCAGTGTCCGACCGCTTTTATCGCCAAATCCATAGATATTTGGCGCTTTTAAATGTCGACCTTCCACAGACCGAAGGTGTACCGCTCGACGGTGGGTTGCTGCATCTGCAAGGCGAAAAGCAGTAGCAGCCGCTTCACGGACAGCAAGAGGTACGAGGAGGACTTCATCGAGTGCTTCCAACTGTCCGAACAACGGGGTGGTGAGATCTGCAACGCCTGCGTCCTGCTGGTGAAACGGTGGAAAAAGCTGCCCGCCGGCTCGCAGCGCAACTGGAGTCACGTCGTGGACGCTCGCTCCGGCCCCGGCACCAACAAGTCCCTCAACAAGTTCCACAAGAGGAAGCCCAAGTTAAGGGCCAACCTCGTGCTCAAGTCGAATGCGCCGAAAAAACTGCAGGATGCCATCATTGGCAAGCGGAAGAAGCACACATATCGCAAGCAGGTGAGTTCCGTCCACCTTTCGAACCATCTTTCCTGGTCAAATCCACCTTAACAACCCCTTATTCCCCCTTTAATCAGCCCATAAAACCCTCGAGAGGAGATATCAACCTTAAAATTCGGGTTCGGTTTTGAATTTGGTGGAATTCTGGCCACTTTTCCGTAAAGTGCCTAATCAGTGTTGGCCATTTTAGGTCATCGAACTGCGACCTAGAGAAAAGAGCATCGCCCTTTTTCCACCCGTGTATCCCTATTTTTCGGGCCAAATTCGCGTGTGAGGCGAGCCTAGAGGGGGTCATGCCGATTTCAGGCCGAATCGGGCGCCGAAATATCTCCGAAGAATTGCATATTGCCAGCTGTCACTCGGCTCATGTCGCTCGAGCGTGAACTGGAGAGAGAGTGAAAGTGGGCCGGGGGGGCTCATTCGGCCCGACGCTTATTATTCATTCGCCTGCCCCGGTGTCGAAGTCGGCATTGTCATTTGTGTCTTTACACGTGCGGCCGCGACTTGCTCGGCCGTCGCGTTCGGTCCCCGCGACTCGGTTTTGTTTCTTTGTGACGCCATTTTTTGTGTATGATGCCGCTGGCCGCGAGAGCTTTTATTTTTTTTCTTTCCTTGTATCTTTCCGCGACTGTTTTCTGACGAAGCATGTAAACAAACGGTCTGCCCGTCACAGAAACCCAGTTGGAAATCATGGGTCGAACGCGATTAAAAGGGTTTTTTGCCAATTTTTTGCGAACGTGCAGCCCCGGGTTCATTCAAGAGGAGCCACTTTGCATGCCATTTCGGAACGGGATGCGACGTCCATTGAGATTCGGCCGCGATCATATGGGGAATTTGAGCGCATGTCCACAAGGCCTCCGCGGCTGAAATTCGATGTTGAATTAATAATCGAAATTCCTCCTGAATACTATTGGAAAAAATGCCTGTTTATGAATAAAATTCAAAAATCATTATAAAGTAAAGAAATTGAAGTAATTATTAATGTAAACTGAACAAGAGGTTTTCACAGAAGTCTTTTTTTGAATTTTCACATGTTTGGTATGTTGGTTGTTAGTATATTTTTCAAGCAAGTCTCCGACTATTTTACAAACAGTAGTATTGCGAAATAATAAAAAGTGCATGTTCTATGAAGAATTAGAAAACAATAACATAATTTTCTAGCTCAAGTTTAGCTTCAATGAATTGAAATTATTTAAAACTTTCAAATTTATTTAATTGCCAGAGCAAAAATTAGTATTGTTTTCATTTTATTGTAATTAGATCTGCCCCTTTTTAATTAATTATTTAATTTTTTTTTTGGTAAATGTAAGAAAAAAAGTTTAATGATGTGCATTTTAATATCAGCATGATTTGAATTAAAAGTCAATTAAACCTTTGACAGAGTTAATAAGAGATTTCCATATTTCAACACTAAAAATGTAATGTTATACAGTTATTATGCACAACTTTGCTTTTCATTATCTTCAAACGTTTCAATAAATTTAATTTTTTATCTATTAATAAAAAGTTATAACAATCAACAAGCATTCAATTTTGCTTTACCATCTTCAAATTATTGAGTGAAACTAGTCCTCGTCAAAGAAATAGTTTTTTTTTAAACTACTGTCGGCTCAAAAACAATTCCCTCTGTAAGGAAAGGGCTTTTCTTTTTATTAAATTAAAAACATTCATCTTTCATTCAAATTTTTAAACGGAAACGCAATGAAATTGCCTTTCTCCTGATAATTCCAGTATCGCCTCCCATTAATCTTAAATCCTAATTAAAACTTTTAAATGCAAAAAAGCAACGATCTAATTATTTTGTTTGTTTTCCAGGAGAACGTCACTCGAGAGACGAGTCCGACAAGCGACCAGGGCGAAGAGTCTGCCGGCAGTGACATGGACGATGATGACATGGACCTGCAAGACTCATCGCCGTCGTCGCCCCTGTCCGGGGGCGGCGGCGTGTCCAAGGAGCCGAGCCCGCTGCTGGACCCGTCGTACTGGACGCGCGAGGAGGTGTGCTGCGGCTTCGTGTTCCGCGGCCGCTGCAACGAGGTGGTCGTCGACCCGCAGTACCTCAAGCCGTGCCGCGGCCGCGCGGCCTTCAAGTTCCCGTCGCGGCCAGAGTCGCCGGTGGTGCCGGCCGTGGCCAAGACGGTGCTCGGCAAGGACGTGGACAGCTCGTCCGACTCGGGCTACGACGACTACTCGAGCAAGGACGCCAAGGCGGTCGAAGAGGCGCCTCGACCGACCCCGGCCCCCGAATGCCCACCCGCTGCCAGCTCGGACGCCACCGCCTCTGATTAATGATAGCGCACAAGTTAATCATCAAAATGAATTTTAATTAATTGATTACCTTTCAAGAATGGGTTAATGAATTTCGATTTTTTGACGTTTTGTTTCGTTCGCAGGAGAGAAAGATGATGCCAAGCCCAAAGTTTTTCAAACGTCGGCGCCAGTCAGACTTCTTGTATAACTGAAAAAAAATGATATTTAAAAAAGTAAATGATAGCCAGCTTCTCCAGGGGTTGATTCGAGAAAAATCGGTGCTTCGGCCGAGCGGCGGGAAATATTTATGCTCCCCGATTTTCAAATCTGCAATCCAACCAACTTAACCGACGAGCAATAAAAACAAACCAATTGAGACTGACCCAAGTCTCATTTTTCCTCAAACAAACTCACAAATATAAATATATGTATATCAAGTTTAAAGACTGTGTAACGATAAATTCCCGCCCCCGGCTGATGGATTTCTCGTCTCTACCCCCTCCCGGCTGGCTGTAATTGATAAATGTGTAAGCACAGGGTTGAGGCCAGCGTTGAAATCTTAAATGAGAAAAGAGTCAAGAGACTGACCAGTCATGAATCTTAACTTGCTGTTCTTGGCCATTCTAACGCGGAGGTTTTCGTTGTGCTAATTCTAATGTTGATGTTACCGGTTTACGAGGATCATGTTTATAGGAGGAAATAATTGTTGCGCGTGGGAGGCGAACAGACAAACGCGACTAATCAAATCGGTGCTAACGTAGAAAAAAGAATCTTATCTAATCTGGCCGCTGTGTTTTCTCGACAAGACAGGAATAAACGAATGAATTAATCCGGATAAATAGGCCTTCCAGCTGGCATTTGAAAAACATCTCCAGGGCATCCGACACAAATGAGAGAGTTGCTTTAATTTAATAATATTATTTTTTTATACTTTCAACAAGTGATATTATTATTTTTGATGATTTCAACGAATTTTAGAACTTAACAAAATTTGAACCAACAACTAAAAAAAGAGGAGAAAATCATTTTAAATTTATTTGTGCTTTCGGTAAGGAAAGAAGTGGGAGGGATGGTTTTACGATTAAGCCAAATAGTCAAGCAAACCAAATTCTCCGCGAGAAATCGAGACTTTTGACAAGAGTTCGATCGGTGAGGACACCCCTTATTGAAATGTGCAATATACTGATTGATCATGATAATGATTTGTAAGTTAGGCATTTTCGATGAACATTAAATGCAAATTACACTCGCGCATAAACACACACTGTAAGAGTAAAACAAACGTACTGTAACTGTCACTCATTGTCGCTGAGGAGATTTTTAGAACCACACTTTTTGAGACAACGCCTGACAAACACAGGACCAAAATATCTCATTTGAACAAGGACTGGACTATACTTTATTTAAAAATGTATGATGATTATGTAAACATGTGAACTGTACTACAAATGCGACGTGAGAGAACCCGTTCAATTTTTTGTGTTTTTTACTAACTGTTGATTTGGGCCAAACTATGAAAAGTTCCTGAACTTGTAAATTACCATCTTGTACTGTATCTGTGTCTCCTACTAATGGTAAGGGAAACACACTGTGTAAAAATGTTCGAACACTAACAAATGAACCAAAAGGAATTTTTGAAGTCGAAGCCCAAAGAAAGCAACTTGATTTATATATGATTTCAAATTTTAGGAAAGATGAAAACCGATTTCGGATTTCCTCGTGTATTTTTATTTTTGAGTTGGGATTAATGCATTTCTGGTCCCATGATTTGGTTTTGCAAAAATCAAATTGTTTGTGTACGTGTTGTTGGAAAAATGGAGAGAAATTCTGCGAATTTTCGGGATTTTCTGGATCCCAGTCCTTATTGTGAAAATTTTAATTGAAAATATTATCTATTCCCGATTTATATTGAAAATACATTTATATGAATTAGATTTTAAATTTAAATCTTATGAGGATAATTCTGAGAATTCATTAATAAATTTAATTAACATACACGTAATGATGATGAATCAAACCAGACAAATTTGTTACAAAGTACCCTGGAAATAAAACTGCGACTAGAATTTTCATTGCATTTTACAAGAAACTTTTCTACAGCGCAAATCAATGAAATTTCTAAACTAGAATTACAGTATTTGAGGGACTTCCAGGAAATTTTTAATGAAACTCTGGTGTGAACGTAGCATGTAAATGATAAATAATGATAATGAAAGTTTCAACAAATATAGAGACACTGCCTCATAATAAAAGTAGAATCTAGACAAAGAGAGTAAACTTGTGAAAAGAGTTTTTAATTTATTTCAGGCTCCAACACTACATAACTTTTCCTTTTGTTTATTTATTCCGTCCCTTATTTGTATAACCCTGCGTTAAAATGGAATAATAATATGATGAATAATAACTCATTCTACTTGTCGTACGTTGTCATATCGGTCCCTTGAGAGCTGTGATGATGTGCATTGTCATTGATTGATAGGACCTACCTTGATACAACCAGCTATTACCACTTTCACACTTTTATGTCTAGTAGCATTAAATTAGCGAAGAGTTTATAGTTTCATTATTTATTATTGTTTTTAATTTTATTGAAGGTACTTTTAAAACTATTTAAGACAACAAAAATTGTGTCTGTGTGTGGATGTATCTTGTTTTTTTAGCATTCAATAAAGTGTAGTAAAATGTACTTAAAGATGTAGCTTTCATTTCAACACTTGACCCTTGTAAATTTAAGAAAAAACTTCATTTAATTAAAATGATCATTTCTAACATGAATATCTTAAAATAAAAGTCTGGCTTGCAATCAGTAAGCCCAATGCTGGGGCCCTTGTTTGCCCCAAAGAAGAGAAAGAAATGAACAAACAAACATTCATAAAATTGTTTTTTGTATTGGTTTTATTCCGTTTTTCAACTACTATACAATTCTTTACAGTAATAATTTTTCATAACCTCAATTTAACAAAATTGAGATGGTTACTGTTTCTGTGAATGATGTTTTGTGGATAATAAATTTTAATTTATAGTAATTACATACACAGGAGAGTTGCCTTGACATACACAAATTCAGTTTCGATCTTCATTGTATCGTTTGAAAAACATTTCCTTGACGTGAGTGATTTGTAGTGAGAGTAATAATTACATGATAGTTGTATTTCTTAAATCCCACCATTCAGCAGCGCTAGTTACTTTTTTAATCATTAGTAATTTAATCATTTCTCCACTTAAAACATACATAACTGAGTGGTCGATTCACATTTATATCAGAGCTCACTTTTAGCCCATTTTTTTATATTTACAGCGATTTTCCTGCAATACTGGATTACAATTGTTAATAAAATCGAGACCAATTCGTATATAATGTTACTTTGTGCCTCATGCGTTGAGCTTTCATGAGAATAACAACATTTCTTTTAATTTTTTCCCGGATGCGGAATTACAGTGGAAAACTCCCAATTATCTACGAATAACCTCCATAAAGATTTTTACTATTTTTATAACTCCCAAATTTCCAAGGTTTAAATACACCTTTTTAGCACAATCCACATTTTCATTGTTTTAATTAATAATTCAACCATAACTCGGTAAAAATAATCAACATCACGGGCGGAGGGGCAGAATAAGGAGTTGAATGGAAAATTTCATATCTCACCCATGTACACTTATATAGTACAGTAGTTAATAATAGCACTGTCCTTGTTTGTCAGCGGCATGTTTGATACAAAACATCGTCTAACACATAATTGGCACAAAAACGTTGCTGGCGAACCAGCGCTCGGCGCCTAGAGGCTCTCGTAATCCCGTTTGAAGGGCCGAGCGCAGGGCGGCCGCTAATAGTGTACAAAAACATACGAGAAAATACAGCAGTCACGTAGAAAAGCAGTCAACAAGGAAAATTGTGCCTCGTGGTTTGTTGCTGCTGCAACTTTGTGTGTGTATTCCAGTACAATACAATTATTGTTTCAACTGTAGAATTCAATTAAAAAAACAAAAAAAATCTTTTGACATATTGCACAGTTAATTTGGCAGATCTTGAGCAGTACTAACTCAACATATCAACAACAAATAAAATAATATCAATCTCTGCGTCACAATAAATTAACAAAATAGTTCAATCACATGAGAGACAGATGGTAATATTGTAAATTACTAATATTAATTACTTTGTGCAGTTCTTTGCGTGGATTAAAGAGTGTGGAAAGTTTGTCGAACGGAACAAACAGACGTATAAATATTCAAACACACACCATCCGCAGCCATTCAAATTAATTTGAGTAAAAAACTGAGTCATCCAGATGCGCATTCTCTTCCATTAACATTTACGGAAGCCGGAGAGAAATTTAAACGAGAAGGAAGATTTGCTATAATTCTAGGTCAAACATGTCCAGAGAGGAAAGTAGGATGAGTTTTACTTTTAAGGAGAGCAATATGTTATTATGGCGAGTTGTGACATTGAAAAAATTAGCAACCATGCTTTAAATTGCAAAATTAAAATACTAAACCAAAGTCGAGAGAGTTTAAAAGCATGCGGAGTTTGTAAGGTAAATAAATCTCTACATAAATCCTTTGATAAAATTACTGTCGGTTTAAAGGAATTCAAAATCATTATTTAGCTGAAAAATTAAAGTACGGTGGCAAGACAGCTTACAGAGAGATTCGTTTAAGCGTAAAAAGTTAAAATTAAAAAAAAGGTGGTTTTAAAGACAGGTGGGGTCAAGAGTCCTTGTACAAGTAAAAGGACTAATATAAAAATGAGATTCTAAAATTTTTTATACTTTGGGTGATCTGATTTCAATCAGAGCAACAGTTTTGGGGGTTGATTGGCTTTGAATTGGGGGAGAATTGATTCTTTCCTGTGTCTAAACAAGACGGGTTTTTTCCCAGCATGGTTCCCGTGATCAAGGAGGAGTGTGTCGTCGAAACGAACAAACCGAACAACCAAACATGCACACCAAATGCAAATTACTACGTCTTGGTTTAAATACTTTTGTGAGAGTACGGCGTCAACAGCAGTTTTAAAACCTGGACCAGCCCCTGAGTGTGTTTAACGGCTAAAGGGGCTGGCACGTAGAACTGGGGTGGTGGATTGATGTTTGGGAGGCGGTGAGGGAGGGCGGCTGGGGGGTCTCGGTGCATCACGTGTTGAGGGCGGTCGCGATCTCGCGGTGGATGCCGGCCAGCTCCTGCAGCCGCCCCGCCAGTTGAGCGTTCAGCGTGTCCAGCACTCGCCGCTGCGACTCCTGCGCCATCAGCGCCGTCTCCAGCTGCGCCTGCGAGTTCTGCAACGCCATCTGAAGGGTAATGTTCTCCTCTTGCAATGCCTTAAATCGAATAAATTCAATTAGCATTATCATTAACAGGTTTCGTGATGTACTTTAAAAACAAATCATATTGATAAAAAGTGGTTTCATCAATTTTTTTCTTTGAAATTAGAAAATCGATCGAGGGGACACCAACTTCAGTTACATGGTGCTGACTTTAATTTCGTGAATTAAGCCAATTTTATTCAGATTTTATTGAATAACTTTTAACTTTTAAATCTTTTTATGCCAAAAAGTAAATTATAAGCGTAGAATATTAAAATTGTAGAAAATTAGATAAATGATCATAATTTATCTTCAAGTTTTTCTATATGTTTTACTTTTCTCTATTAGTTTTTAATTATTTTTAGAATGATTTGCCTCGCTATCAGTAAAATTTATTTTGCAGCTAATTCAAATTTTGGCTATTTGGACATATCACATGAAAGGAAAGTTGTTGATTAAAAAAATAACGCCAAACATGCAAAAATAAAATATAATTGAGATATCGAAATTTGCTTTACATTCATTTTTACCTTCATTCTTTCATCATTAGACTTCCCAGAATGAGGATCAGGTCCCTGTTGTTTATTCAATCGGCGAACTTCTTCGTTTTTTCCCTGCAGCTCCAAGTCCAGCGCTTCCACTCTTGTTCGCAAGCTTTGCAGCTCTTTTCGTAACTCAGCTGCCGCCTCTTGACTCCCTATTTATTCAGAAATTAATGTCCACTCGCAAAAAAAATCATCTCATTAGAAACCTTTAGCAGCTTCCAACTCTACATATTTGGATTTCAGAGTGTGATTATCCTCTTTATACTGCTGCAGCTGACGCTTCCACTCCTCCACGTTGGCCGTGCTTTCTTGAAGGGCGCTCGTTAATCTGGCGTTGTTGTTTTTCAAAGTGGCAAGCTCGATTTCCCACTTTTTTGCGTTTGCAGAACTATAGAAAATTCAAATTAATTCATTTAAATATTTTATTGCTCAATAAGACGGCAAACCTTTGAGCCAAAGCTAATTTTAGCCTGTCGTTCTCATATTTTAGTTGAGCTTCTGCCGATCCAGGCGGAAAATTGGCTGCTGGAGATTGCTTAGAGTCTACCAGGGTGGCTCCCACTACTTTTGGCTGATGTTTTGGACTATCACCAGGCTGGAAGTAAACATATATTCATCATACATTTGAAAGAAAAAAAATGTATCAAAATTAATAGAAATTGGGGATATTAGAGGAAACATTTCCCAAAAATATTTTTCTTATTTTCTAGTTGAAGATTTTCTTCTTCATTTCATTGAAATACTATGCAGAATTTTTAGATGAAAAAAAAAATCAACTCGTTCTTTCTTCATTTTATTGTTTTCCAATTATTAAAGAAAACTCACAATAACTTGTTGAACGGAGAGCGAGGTATTTCTGAGGGAGCTCTTCAGCAAGGTGCCGGTGCCGTCGTTGTTGGCCAGGCCCATGGGCGCCGGCAAAGGCCCTCCCGGCGGAATTCCAGGGCCACCCTGTGTGTCGACCAGTTCGTCCGGCAGCGGCGTCTGGCCCATAGGGTTGGGCGACGCGTTGCCCGGGGCGCCGGTGCCCCTGCCAGACCGCGCCGTGATGGGCGAAGCGTTGGCGCTGCTCACGGGGGTGGCCTGGGTGGCCGTGCCGTTGGTCGTGGCCTTGGCGGCCGCCTGCCGCGTCGCCTCCTTCACATCTTGGAACTTTTCAATGAACTGCAATGCAAATTCTTTTTTAGTCTTTAATTAAAAAAAAAAGCAAATTCGAGATTTTAGAATAACTTATTGAGAGTATTAAACAATATTCAAATTTGTAATAATTATATTCAAATTAAATTGATATTGATGTTTTCAATCATTGTGAAAAAATTCAAAATAGATATCGTGAACGCATCACATGTGAACATTATGATTATCATTTTAGCTAATAATAATGCTGATCTAAAAAATAAATATGTTATTTAATGAATAAATTTGCTAAAAATTTATCAGAAATAAATTAAATATTATATAAATCAAAATAATCATTCTCTTAGCAATGATTTGAAGTTTTAATATAATTTTATTAAAATAAATGAATTAAAAATTTTAAATACATAAAAAACTATACATTGCATGAGACAAATATATTCAAATTTATAATTAAGCTTATTTTATTAATAGTTCAAATAAAATTTCAATTCATTTCAAATCACAGTCATAAAATTGCATGACTGTTTTGTAGAAAAATAATATTGAATGTAATTAATATATAATATTACCTTGTTAAGCTCAGCTTCTGAGGAAAATCCTAGGCCGTAAACTGTGTTGGCACGGACGTCGGACCACTGGCCGAACTTTTGTGAGGTTTTGGTGAATGTCATGTTGGGGGTGATTGTACTGTTGATGACAGCCTGCAACAAAACGCACACATCTGCGGTTAATCACCTGCGCAAGTTGGCGTGCGACGCACCCTGTCAAGAGGGGGCTCGTCCTCAATTAATTCCAAATGCCTCCTCAGGAGAGGAACAAAGCGTGCGTGCAAATTAAAAGGCAAGGTAAAGGGCAAACTGTTTCTTCATCATCCCTCATTAAACATTGAGAAGCAGAGGGGCGCGATTAACCCTTCCCTCCTTCTGTGAGAGCGTTTCTTGGTGTAATTTAAATTATGGATGTGTGGAAAAAGCAGTCGAGAAGAAATGGCGCCGAAAAAGCAGCCGAGTGAGATTCTTGCGTTAAATAATTTACGCTAAACGAGTGGAGAGAGGGCCAGGTGAGTCGGGAGAATTACTGCAATTCTTCCTCGCCTAGTTGGTTTCGCAACTTCCAGAGTTGGTCGACTCGGAATTGCTTTTGAACCGACTACGCCAGCGGAATTGCTGCAAAAGGGCGTGATTTGAATGAGATCCCCGTCAAAAGTTACACAGCGATGGACTTTGGATGAGTTGGAATTCTGGTTTCGAGAACAAACTTTGATGTAATCTGTTTTTAACTTTATAAAATTTGAGTAAAATTTATAAAAAATGTATTATCAATTAAAAACTGGAAAAGTTTGAAACAAAAAAATGTAATATATATGTTTCGGAAAAAGGAAAAATACTTCTAATTATTTAAGCAAAAGTCTAAAAAAGGCAAACAGAGAGATATTTAACAAGAGCAAAATTTGTAAAAAGCGAAAAAATAGGAAAGGGAATCGTTGATCAACAATAAAAAAGATTTGGCATAAACTTCTGAGGTCAAAATGACCCCATCCGCGGAAAGGAGCCTAAATATGGGCAATTTCCTTAATGCAGCCCTCCAATTTTAGCTTCAAAATGCTTTGTATAGGGAAATAAAAGGGCCTTCAGGACAATTGACAGTAAAATCTTCAGCATTTTCAATGAAACTCTCTCCAGAGTGAAAGATTAGGAGTTACTTTTTAGTTCTTTTACAATTCGTTGTTCCGTTGGCTTCTTTTGTTAAATCTTTTAGCACACGAATAAAAAAGAATTTCCCTCAATTTCAAAATTGAAAAAACTGTTGACTTTGCCGCGTCGATGAGCATTTTATTTTTGTAGCAAGTCACTTTCGCAAATTGCTGGTCGGGAAAAGCTCAGAATGTGATTTCTGGCGGAAAAAAGCGACGAGAGATCCGCATTTTCTCGACGAATATGGTATTCATTCATTCCGTGTTTGCTCGCACATGTCAAACGCAAAATGCAAACGCCATCAAGTGATATTTTTATCGACTTCCGAGCGCGAGCACAGGAAAAGTCCCTGCGAATTGCCAGCTACTTTGCCGAGGGTGTCGCCTTATTATTTATGGCGCGCCAAATGCACTCATCTGTACTTTCTTTATCCCGGGGAATTTTTCACGCCCGTCCCGAGATGCAACTTTCATGAGGCGCGGGAGCGGGCAATTTATTTCACTTGATGCGAATCCCTCCGCGCTGAGCAGGTGCATGCAAATTGATGGCCGCCCTCTGACCTCGTGCGTGCAGCGTATGCAACACGCCCCACCCCCTCCGACAAGCAGCCCCCGGAGGCCGCTCCCGTCGAGTGAAAAAAATTATGCAAGGGTTGCTCTTTAAGCAAGATGAAAGCGGTGGCTGAGAGCGAAATAAAGTAAGAGTCACAAAGAGAAGTCTGGCTACGAGTCGGAAAACTTAATTGTGGCTGCCTAATGAATTAAGCCGTGCATGCTGCTAATTGCATGAGCTACTTTCTGCTCCGCCGTGATTATGTCGCGGCATAAATTTTGCACGAAAGAGGAAAAGAAGATTAATTAGTTGAGTGAAAAGAAATTTCATTTTCAGCTTTCTGATTTTTTTCTCTGTATGAAATTTTTGAGGATTGCAGACAAAAAAAGAGAGCTTTTATAAATGCTTGAAAATTATTATGATTGATTTTTGTGAATTATTCTTCATTAAATTTACTTTTTTCACAGTAAAAATTAATAAAATAAAACAATATTACACTGACACTCATTGCTAATAACACATTAAAATAGTTTAAAATTAATAAGTAACTTAAACTACCAATAATTTAATTATAATTTTAGTAAGTTACGTGAAAAATTCATTTTCAAATCAGCAAAAACGTTCTTATTCATATTTTGCACAGTGATAAAGTCCTTTATTATATAATACAACATAATATTAAATTTTGTTAAACTGATTTTTTTTTTTTTTAAATTGAAGCATATCAAAATAAAATATATTCAACGAATTAATTTTCAATATAAAACAATGTAAGCCATACGTGTTAAAAAATAAACAGCAATGCAAATTAAAAATTGTCAAGATCATTTGAATTTTTACCCTTTTGCAATAAATTGAAATGCTCCAATAAGCCTAAATTAAGGTTAAGTTTGAAATTGAGGCCTTGATGGAAAATCACCTACTCTGCTAGTTTCAACAATTTGAATGATTTATAAAACCTATTTTGATAATTATAAACATTTTTTTTTTTAATTATAGAAAACTGGTTTATTAAAAATATAACGCAGTTTTTTAATATTTATTTTTGCTTCAAAACAAGGAAAGTACTTCAAAAATCCTGCATATATTAGTTTTGTATTCGTTTCTATGCCAACAAGTGCGTCAGTTTAACAATCATCTGGTCCAATCCCAAACAAATCTGAAATGTCGATTTTGGGCTTTTTCAAACACAAGCTTTTACAAAGAGCTCTGACGCACAAGTCGCAAAAAGCAGAAAATCCTTCTTTTTTTCACGCATTCAAAGATTAGTGTCACAAGCGGCGCTCGAAAGAAGAGCTAAAATACTTTTCGGCTCTCGGGCCCATTTTGGCGCAGAACAAATCCAGTTATTATCCAGCGCACTCGCGACTCTCTGCTTTGGTCGGTGATATTGCGAGAGAGACTGATTTCGCCAGAGTGGATTTGGCCTGCTTGAAACCTCTGTCTAGACAGAATCCTTTTGTCTTTCGAGTGCCGCTGCGACACACGGGCGAACGTGCAGTCATAAATAATATTGTTCGCCAGATTGGAATTTGGTCCGCTGGCGAGACGAGAGCATCATCGTGCGACGAACCCTCCCTGCACTCAACCCACTGCTGCAGGTGTGCTTAACTCGCCCTGCCACTTGTAAGCTTTGATTTGACTGTCGCGCTTTTAAACGCTTCGTCTCCTTTTGTGCATTAATAAGGTTTTAGTCAACAGTCTCGTGTCTCAATTTTGAGAAGACATTATTAAATTTCTAGGACCAAAATTTACTGATTTAAAGGCGTTGGATAAAAAAATAATAATATAATTAAATTAAATTTATGATTCCATCCAGGAAATGTCACAAATTAATTACTGACTTATTATTGACAATGTCGTTTTACTCCCATAGGAAAAAAAATTTCTTTTGCAACAAAATATTACTGAAAAAATCCTGTTAAAGAAAAGCCAAAATAAATATAAATTTATAAGTTAAATCGACTTATGTTAACAAATAAGTTTACAATCGTCTGATATAAATAAATAAGTTAGCACTCGCCCGATGTAAACAAATAAATTTACACTCCACTCACTCGGCTGAAGAAAGTAAAAATAAATTACATGTGAATTAGTTTGAATTATTTATGCATCCCGCTTATTTGCGCCTGATTAAAAAATTGGTTGTGACGCTTTTCACCAGTTTAATGACCAGCGTCAGGTGTGTACTCAGCAGTACGTTTGTCATTGTTGCGAGAAATATTTGCTGTGCCATGCCGGTGGCGGCAGCTGCGTTGGCAAAGCGAGTCGAGTGCGCGAATTTAACGAGGAAAAATGGATTCGCAGAGACACAGGAAGCGCGGAAATTAGCCTTCAGGTGAAAAAACACGCTTTGTTTTGCACGCGTCTTTTTTTTTTCATTTGGCGAGTGCTGTGCGGAAATTTAATTAAAAGACAAAAAAAAAAAACGGTGACGACTGGAACAATTTAATTGAGCCGCGGTGTACAGGGAAATGTTGTAAATCACACACACCAAGCAAAAATGGGATAAATCTAAATACTAAATAACGGCGTGGAACGAGATTTGGGAACTGTGCCAATTATAAATCGCATCGTTAACGTGAACACGCCAGAAGAGGATTAAATATGAAAAATGTGAGCGAAAAAATGCCGTACAACAATTGAGCGCGATCTATGTACGGCCTTTTGAGCCTTTTAAATCTGGCGCCTATTCGATTTCACGACTTTTTCCAGCACAACGCACTGGAAAATGCCCTGGAACTGAATCACGATTCTAGCATGAGCGATTTTTATTCACAACCAACGAACGACCAGCCCGGCTCGTTATTGAAATTCCTGTCAAGGGTCTGATAATGTTTAGCAGGGAGAGTTCTGGCGATATGAAGTTTTGATATTATTATATAAGTTTAAAAGTAGCCAAGCAGTTTTGGTTAGAGAGATGAAAATTCCAAAGAGTTTAGAATTTTAAACTTCCAACCTTTTGCCTGTAAAAATTAATCAGCATTCTTTTTTTAACATTTAGGAAAGTTTTCTCGATGGACGCAAGAACTTGAAATTTCTCATTTTATTTTTGAAAATATTTTTGTAATTTTTTTATTTTTACATTTTAATTTTTACTTTAAAAAAAATATATTATTTCCTTTTTGAGAATGTTTCATTTATTACAAAACCAATTAAGTAATTGTCTTAATTTATGTTTAACGGTTATGCCAAAGGTTTAAAAAAATTAAACTTTTCAGTTCATTCGTAGTGAGTGGTACAAACTGCGCCCACTCGCAGGCATCATGAATTTTTTGCTCCACTCGGTTTGATGTTTAAAAAACTTGTACAAACATAGGTGAGTGAGCACAAAAAACATTTTGATGTTTTTGCAATTAGGCAGAATTGTGACGTGCGTTTGACAGTTAAAATGCTCGTCGCTGCGTCAGAACCAGTTGCGATGATTTCCTCGCTTTTTGACTCTGCGTCATTTTGATGCAGCACAAGAGGCGCGGATTCTTTTTTATGCTCGGAGATCCCTGCTGCAGAAATATACCTACAGTGCACCAGGGAGTTGAAAAGCCTCTCCCTCTGCGATGCGCCACAAAAGCGGCCTTTTTGCCGTGAATGCCAGATGAGGCAGATTGTTATTTGCCGCCGCCCTCTGAATATATGCAATTAACGGCGAACAGGCTTTTGCATCGTGCAGCCTCATGCACACTCATCAAGTAGCATGAATTGAACGCCAACTTGGTGCATGATGCACTCTTCAAAAGGTGCAGCAGCGTTTATTGAGAGCTCTCGAACCGCAAAATTAGTTCAGGTGGAATATTTTATGCTCTCTCATGTGGCAGGAAAATCCTGATTTTTCTTTACTTGCAAATTGGATTGTACTTTCCTGGAGTGAATCAAATTACTGCGCTCGGATCGTGGATGGCTTTAATTTCCATCAGTGATTTGCATTGCAAATCTTGATTAATCTAAAACGTGGAAAATCGTCTTGGGTTTTCTAATCTACATGCTTACAATTTAAGAATGATGTTGTAGAAAACGCAAATCAATTAAGATTTATTCCACAGAGAAGATATTTTCATTCAATCTTTAAAATAATTAATAAATTCTTAATTGAATTAAATAACTTTCAACTGAAATGTTTTAGTAAAATTTTTTTTCAGTACATTTGTTTTGAACTTGGTTCCCTCCTTCCAGTATTTATAATAAATCCTCATTTTGATTTTTCTATCGTGCCAGTTCTAAATCAAGGCAAATCTTTTCCGATCCAATTCCAATTCAAATATTGGCCTGGCTGAGAGGAAAAGTGGCGAAATATCGCCCAGGGAGGCATATTCCGGCAGTAAAACGTTCAAAATTGGCGTCGCCGTTTCTTTTACGAGAAGTCCAATATTTCATTGTATGGATCTTTCTCATCCGCGCACAGGGAGAAATAAAGAAAAAAAAAGAAAAATACAGAAAGCAGAGCAGCAGCAGCAGCTTTCTTTCTTTCATTCCATCCAAGGGTCCGCGTTCTCTCCATTCAGCGAAAAGCAGCAAGGCAGCCTGGATGTAATAAAGTTGATATATGATTTGCGCGATCCTCCTCGCGTTCGCCGAATTCCGTCGGCCGATTCTGCACAATGGAGAGCGGCGTTTTCCTTCTCTCTGCATTTCCATTCGGAAAGCAGTTGTTGGAGGGGAGTCGGTTTGTGTGTTTGCTCGGTTATCATTTGCAGGCACAATTTATTTATTGCCCTGGCGACGCACAATGCACTCGCTCGCGAGGGTCGCAAGCAACCTTGTTCCGCGGCTTGTTGGCGCCCTTTTCATCGCCAAGGAACACCGGGAGCAAATCGTCGTTCGTGTATGCGAAGGGTGGTTTTGAAAAAAAAAATGCACTTTACGCTCCAATGGATGTCCTTTCGACGGGGGACGAAATTTTACGACTTTTATATGCGGGCAATCAAGAGGTAAAATGTCAAAACCAAAAGAGTTTCACAGGGGCGAAATGAACATTTTATTTTTCCTGTAAAATTTTAGTTTCAATTTTCAGCCGTAAAATTATCGCAGAGAAGTAACTTTTTAATAGTTTAATCTTTATTCCAATTATTCTATTCAAGATTAAAATAGCCATAATTTTACCTAGCTTTGTTCCTAAAATACTTTTTGAAAGCTAAAAATTAGATGATGTTCCAAAGGTTTTATTTTAATTAATTTTAAACGAAGTGGATAAAAGTAAAATCTTTGTTGATGCTCCGTTGATATTGCATTTTTTTTTAATTCTTTGAAAAACTTCTTCATTCATAAAAAAGTAACAAATGAACAAAAATATGGTGCAAATAATAATACCATTTCTCTAAAAGTATTTAAAATTTAATTACATTCCAAAAGCCTTTTTTTATAAATAAGAAATAAAGCTCCACGTCTAAATTTGGACGCATAATTGCGGAAAACTTTGTGCTGCTGAAAGGGGTGAATGAATCAAGCGTGCGGGCAAACAAATTAAAAAATAAAGAGCCGACGACACGAAAGGGGTGCGAAAGAATCCCGAATAATGGAAAGCGGCTGAAAAGGGAAAAACAGAAACTAGGACGAGTTCTCTGCCCTTTTTTCCCCGGCGAGGAATCTATTAATGGCATGCGAGTGCCAGATGAGATGAGCTTTCTGCGTGTGCCGCCGCTTTTATGAATCGCAAATACACGTTCTTATTTATTCGCGTGCAAGACTGCCTTTCGCTGGAAATGAACAAGCTTTGTTGTGAGCAGTCAAAGGACGACGCGAGATAAGGCAGAGACGATGATTCGAGTCGACGCTTGTGGGTGGTGAATTATTAGATTTGCTCCCAACTCGCGAAATAAATTAGACGCTGGCAAATACTCGCCGAGCTAGTTCATCTGAATCTTCAAATTTAACTCGGCGAAATCTGTGCTAATCACATGTCTTTTTCAAATAAAATTTTTATAAATTTATTATTATTTGATTTTTACCTTATAAATACATTTTTTTCCATTTTAATTCCAAGCATTAAGTAAACCTATAAAATTTTCTTTTCTTTTTTGCATCGGTATACAAATTTAATTTCTTTTGTAAGAAAAAATGAAATCCCCCGCCAGAGGTTTTCAATTTGAACTTTTTAAATATCGCCTTAATCTTAAAATAACCTTGATTTCTGTCAACAAAAATAGTTTATATAATTATGATTTGTTTTTTATCTAGATTTTAGCATGAAAAATCAAAGGTTGTTGCTGCGGATTGGTTTTTTCTATTTTGGAAATTACAGTAAAATCTATGCTAGTCATTGTGCCTTGACGTCCAACAATTCAGTCTCCTCTTTCGCTCTTTTTATTTAACAAGTTGGAAAAATAAGCAAAGAAACTACAAAAATAATTATGAATCGATGAAATTTTTATAATATTTGGAATTGCAGTTTCAAATAAAATATGGAACAAATAGGGCGGCGACTTAAAACCAATGTTCAATTTCAGTTTGGGATGTTTAGGATAAAAATAATCTATATCTATTTATAAAAATTTTAAAATTGATACATACCTTGGTGCCTTCAACGCTGATAATTCTGTACAAACTCCTCGTGGAATCATAGAAAAAGGAGACACTAACAGCAGAGGATGAGGCAGGGATCCACGAGCGCTTGGTCTTGGGGTCAATGTGGAACACGTGCGCTTTGCACGTGAAGATCGGCTGCTCACTGCAAACAGTAAAAAGAAACATTAAATTTTATTTAATTAAAAAAGCGGTAAAAGACAAACATTTCCGTCCAATTCCAGACATTCCTCACAAAAGTTTTAATTTAAGAAAAATCTCTTTGCCTGTAAATTATATCAAATTTCCGGAAATTTCACAATCTTTTTCCGCAGAGACCGACGGCACTTAAGTCTCGCCGGCCGCAGAGGAATTTACGAGAGAGAAACCCAAGCTCGAGCCGGACTTTTATCTCCGGTGCAGTAAAACTGCAATCTGTGTGAGAAGGCCTTGCTGCTCTCCCCTGCAGGCCCGAGAGGCGAAAATATAATTTGGTCGTTAGTGATAAGTCGGCGGGAGTGTTGGTTGGTGTGTTGATAATAATTGACCGCGCGTTGGCAGGGCTGGCAGGGATTATAACAGGATGGTGATGCGACGACATAAACCACTCGATGGTCTCTCCGGCCGAGACACTTTCGGCGCTCGGATAATGCCTAAACTTGTACTTTACTCTAGCCCGACCGGTGTCATGCCAATGGAGCCCGTAATTATTGATTTGTCCGGCCACTGGCTCGGAATTAATGCGCTTCCACTCGCCTGCCTCGCGCCCGTCCCACTCAATTTCCAGTTTGTTAAAGAGGAAATGATCATTTATTTCGTTCCACCTTGGCAAAAAAAGACTCGGCTGTGAGCAATTTATTATATAACGGCTCCGATTAATTTTTTTTCCCGGGTAGAGCCGAGTGATGAGAAAAAGGCTCGTAATTTTCCACAGCTCCGATTTTCTATTTTCGTCAGAAGAGCAGCTTACTCGATGATACATTGAGAAAAATTGAGGAGAATTTTCTTCTTAACTGACATAAAAAATAAGCTTCTGTTAATTAGAAAGAGATTCTGACTGAAACGTAAATATACTGTTGAAAAACATCGTAATTCTGGATTTATGTTTTTAAATATCAAAAGAATGAGACAAAATTTGTTTTTTGATCCCGAGTCACTCGCAGTGGAGGCGATAAGGGTGTTGGGGGCGAAAGTTTCCAGGGGCGCCAGTCTTGGCCCTTGGGGGCCTGATAATCAAAACAACGCACACATCAAAAAATTTCGAGAGCGCAGTTTCAGGCAAATTTATGCTTTGTTCTTCGCTCAAAAGTTGTACTTCCTTTTTTTAATATGAATAAAAATCTCTCCATATTGTAGTAATGGCCTTCAGCGTTAATTTGTTTTAATGTTTTTGATTATACTTTAAACTTATGATGGTGCTGGGGCCCCACGGTATATTGGAACGCGCTTGAAGTTGCGATTAAATGTGTTTTGTAAAAGAAAATTTAGAATGCCCATAGAAACTTTCCAATCTTCAGCCATCAAAAGAAGCATCGTAAAAATCCCAAAATTTTTAAGACTAACCAAAACTTACAAGGAGAAACCATATATCAGTTTTAATTATTTTTCAATTGACAACGTGACCCTCAAAATATTCTCAATTTTAATGAAATAAAATAAATGTTGATTTTGAAAAGAAAAAGTTTGAATTATGACATTCTACCTTATTGAAAACTAAAAATTTCTGGCTCACCTCTCGAATCTGCCAACTTCGGAAATCCATAAAGGGCACTTAATTAAAACACACATTCACTTAAACACTTCCCATAACTCCTGATTTAGTGAAAGGGCTCCGATCACCCACCGCTTTCCCGGCCCGAAGGCCACTCATTCAGGCGCCCTAACCCTAAACCAGGAGCTTGGGGCGAAAGAGGGGGGTCCCCCGCCCCCAGGATCCAGGAGTTTTGCCCTTCTCGGACTGCGCAGGGCTAACGTGCCAGGACACGCAACCCACCCGTCTCACCCTCCTCAGCAAAGGGCAGGTTTCCGTCGTCCTGAGTGGCGGAGGGGCTGACACGAGCCCCGCACTCGTCTCCGGGCCCTCCGGAAGGGCCCCTTGGTCCCGGTCACGCCCCCCAGTTAAGGATGTCGACGATTTACTATCCGGGGGTAGCCCAACTTTCGGGACACCATCGACTCCTGCGGCACTGCGGACAACCAAGATGACTTCCAGCTAGGCTGGCCGTCAACTGATCTTACTGAGCTCCGCCTGTGCTTGCGCGGTACATGTGGGCGTGGCAGAAGGCGGCAAAATTTAAAAATTATACTGTTTTTCTTAATAATTCTGATATTTTGTCGGAAATTTTGGTTTTACGGATTTCCTTAAATTAATTTCGGTTTTATAAAATTAATGATGTTTCCAAAATAACATAATAATTCGCAATTCGCTATAATTAAGAAAAACAGTGTAATTTTTAAATTTTGCCGCCTTCTGCCACGCCCACATGACCGCGCAAGCACAGGCGGAGCTCAGTAAGATCAGTTGACGGCCAGCCTAGCTGGAAGTCATCTTGGTTGTCCGCAGTGCCGCAGGAGTCGATGGTGTCCCGAAAGTTGGGCTACCCCCGGATAGTAAATCGTCGACATCCTTAACTGGGGGGCGTGACCGGGACCAAGGGGCCCTTCCGGAGGGCCCGGAGACGAGTGCGGGGCTCGTGTCAGCCCCTCCGCCACTCAGGACGACGGAAACCTGCCCTTTGCTGAGGAGGGTGAGACGGGTGGGTTGCGTGTCCTGGCACGTTAGCCCTGCGCAGTCCGAGAAGGGCAAAACTCCTGGATCCTGGGGGCGGGGGACCCCCCTCTTTCGCCCCAAGCTCCTGGTTTAGGGTTAGGGCGCCTGAATGAGTGGCCTTCGGGCCGGGAAAGCGGTGGGTGATCGGAGCCCTTTCACTAAATCAGGAGTTATGGGAAGTGTTTAAGTGAATGTGTGTTTTAATTAAGTGCCCTTTATGGATTTCCGAAGTTGGCAGATTCGAGAGGTGAGCCAGAAATTTTTAGTTTTTGCTGCGGTTTAATATTTTCTATTTCACTATTTTCATCGATAAAAATTTTTGTATTAGTTATAAATTTTTACTTCAATTGTATTTGAATGGTTAAAATTAAGAATGATTTTATTTTTGTTAGATTTGTAATTGTAAGGTTAGAAGGAGGTTGTATTAACAACTTATTATAACTGTTCCTAGAGGGCCTATAGGCTAGGGATACTCTATCTTAATGTGCATAAGCATTGAAAATTGCCCATAGTGCATATAAAAAAGGTTAATTAAAAGATAAAAACCATGATTTGTTATTTTATTCCCACCAAAATATATTTATTTTACTTAATGAATTTTGTCACAAATTTTTTTATTTTATTATTGTTCCATGAAATGCGAAGATACAAAAAAAAAAATACACCTGCCTAAAAAAGTCGGGGGCTTCGGTTTTTGAATTCACCTTAATTTTTTTTGTTGGTAGACGTATGTTATGACGTATAAGGTTATTGAAGTAAATTAATGTTTTTTTTCAAAATTATCATTACCATTTACCAAGTACAATAATTAATACGAGTATTAAAAACATGTATGTATTTTGAGGAGGCCTAAATTGAGATTTTCACACCGGCCTCAGTCAATGAGGTGCCGCCAGTGCTCATTTTTGCCCATTCATGAAAATAAATAAACATTTAGTTCTACAAACTCCTGTCGTACCTCTGGAGAAAAGTAAAAATTTTTGTTTCATCCCCAAAATATTTCGGTAATTATTTAGTACCATGGTTGAAAATTAACAGATCTATTGTAATATTTCCCTAAATCAAATTTTCAGGCCAAATTTCTAGTTTTAACTAGACTATGTAATTTTTTCCCATTTTTATTTAAAATTTTGAGTATATGCTAACTATTTAAATATAATTTTCATGAATAAGAATTTGGAATTTGAAAATTATGTAGTATCAAATAATTAATCGCTCTCTAATGCACATCACTATATACAAGACTACAAAAAAATTTAGCAATGACCATTTTTTTTATAATCAAATTAGTGAAGAAAAAATTTATTGATGACTTTTTCGCTGTATTTGGCGAAAATGGCGAAACAAAAACGAAGTTTATAAAAAAAGCCAATGTCCCCCTTTGCAATACGCGGGACCGAGCTGTGACGCTTCACACAAAAAGCAATTAACGAGCAAATGATACCACGGGGATGGCAATTTGACCAGAACCATTTCTGTCAACAGAATTATGTCTCCAGCACGGATTAGACCGAGGTAAAAATTCAGCCAAGGGACGGAATGGTTGCATTTTTAATAAAAGCCAATTTATAGTGCACCATAAACGTCGACGTCAAATTAAATTACAAGTCCCTTTGGTCTTTCTCTCTCTCACTACGGTCTAAGTGCATTTTATAAAAGGCAAAGAGCTGATGTTTGCATGTCTGTCAAGTTCCACTCCAGTCTGCCCCCTGTAAGTCGCAGGTCTATCTTCCCTCTCGTGTTTTCTAATTAGAACCCTGCGCCGCCTGCGCAAAAACAGACCCTTTTCGCAGCCGTAAATAAACAACACGCGACAAGAAAGTCAAGTCTGTGAAATATGTGGGCAAACTTTGTGCGCCAAATTGCGCCCCCCGTGACGTCGCACTTTTAGGGCGGAAGATTAAAAGTCCCAGAGTTATTTTTTCGCAGCTTCAGAGCTTTGAAACTCATTTGTTTATCAAGTAAATTTTGCAAGAGACTTGACTCTCTGAGGCGCGGCTCTTTCGGCGAAAAAACAAATAAGAAAAAAATGTTATGAAAAAGGTCAGGACGCAAATTGAATTAAAGGAATTGCCTCTGGGTTGTCTTTTAACAAATAAAAAAAGCGATGCCAATTTTTTCTCTCGAGACAACAAACAACTTCTTGCCTGCGAGCGGAATTGATTTTCTTTTGTAACGAGTTAATGATGAAAATGGGCAATATCTTTTGCTTTTGTAAACAACTCGCTTTTGCGATAAAAGAGAGTTGCTACGAGTTTGTTGAAACTTGATTGTTTGTCTTGCTCAAAAACTCTTATCTCTATGAAACTGTTTTGGAACGAGCAAATTGAATTTCAAGTAAGACTTGTGAAATTAATCAAAGCTTTTGCAAGACAAGCAATTCTTTGGAAGAAAAC